CGCTGGTTGGAAGGTGAACCGGCAAGTATTAGAAAACTTGAAGCCAGTTTGCTTAGTGTAAGTCAGATGCAGTCCAGGTCCTTGGTACGTTCAATGTCTGATTGCGCCAGTTTGGGGCCGGGACACGAGGTTGCCTGGGCCAGCACGTCGCCATGTTTGAAATCAAGAAGTTTGTTACTGCCCTGTTCATGAACTATGACGTGAGTACCCTACCATAAAATCAATAATATATACTTACGTTTTAGGTTGATCTTGTCGAGCCTCGAGCGAAGTCCAACCCATACTATTGGGTCGTATATCCAGAGAGCGTGCAGGCGACGGTCAGGAAACACAAGTTCAACCAGTAGGACCTAGCCCAGAGTAGGACTACAAACACTGGGCTCGTTAGTACATTATCAATCCTGGATTCACTAAATATTACTCTGTGCAACTAATCCAACTCACGGCTGCGAAAGAATCTCGAATATCAAAGTTTCATGTGAACTTGAGCATGAATTACGTGAGCTAAAATTGAAATTCATACTCACATACTCTGGTTGACCCCGGTGGTTTTGTTAGTACAGTGGGACTCGCAGCTATACCATAATAGTTAACGAGGTTTTCTAAATAAATGACTGCCTACTCTGATAGGTAGAAGTCTTAACTATTCAGACGATCAGGAGCAAGATATTGGCCAGAAACCAATACACCAATTACATGATCCCTGTATAGCGTGTGAATAAAAAACATACTAACAAAACCACCGGAGTCAACAGTATATTTAAGTCGTTGTCCAACGGCATTGAGAAATGGATATATGCTTGGCAACTTCAGATTGCAACAACTTTCCTTGCAACCATATTCATTGATTAAAAAGGAGTCCTCAATTATTAATCGCTACGGTTTAAAGGCGGATAATGCTTTTCTGTGAGCTGATTAGTTTCTATACCTTGTTTTAGTAGTGATTCGACCCACCGGGTCCGACGGTATAAAGGCACCGTGACTTTACATTCGCTTCTGGTTCTTGGTGAGCAAGCTAGCCGCGTTAATGGTCGTGTTGGCTTAGGGGTCGTCTCCTATGAAGCCGGTGGTGGTTTCTTGGATAATCAAGCACAATTAGACTAGTTGGATTTTCCATTATCTGGCCATGAATGTCTGTCAGTCTCACGCCATTCTAGATTCGTCTGTGGCATGTGCAGATTAAGAACCACAACAACTGTTTTTATGGATACTCAACAGAAGATCAAGTATATCATTCTGATAATGTTACGTGGAGATCATCCCTCTCGCATACAAACTGTTACGACCTATGCGACCTAACTATTTACCCCCCGACCCACGGAATGTAGCTTGGTCGCCTCACAAGATGAACTCTAAGTTTGGAAACAATTTGTAACAGGCATTGATATCATGGGTTTTGTGTTCCATGTTTGAAGACAGCATTGTATCCTAAACTAACTTCAGTATATGGTTCTTAACTGTCCGCAGTGAACATGATTAAATCATCGCCTTGTGAATATCCGCAAACAGCGAACAGAATTGACCGAAATTCTGTGGTTTAGGGAATGACTGACTGATAATTGAACTAGACTTCCTTACATTCGTACAACTTTAGGGCCTGGCGTGGCCCGCGCGCGTAGAATCGAACCCAGAGGCGGCATTACATCACAATATGCAAAAATTGTTGAATTGTAAGACGTTCTGGTAAAATTGACTCAATCCACCCATCAGCTTAATTTGGTTGCCACAAAGGTTCAAATCATGCGATTTTACCATCCCCCGAAAACGGCAATCATAAGTGTAGAGTCCTAGATGATGCTAGGCTAGTCAATCACAGAGGATCAGTGATTTCATGAATCGTGGTACTGAGGGGTGTAGACAGGTGATGACATGAATTTATACCAATGAAAGGCTTATAAAATAGCCTAGACGTAGAGTAGCTTAATATCAATCTTTGTGCTTCAACCACTGCATCACCTCTTATCATATCTTGCAAAAAAAAAAAAAAAAAAAAAAAAATTGGAAAACATTCACTTCATTTCACAATCCAACTCCACCCATGATTGCCGTGCATTTCATAAGGTGGAGGACGGGAAATATATTAACAGCAAACGCCTATTCATATGCTGCGATGGGACTTGCAATAACTCGTATGTACATCTACTATCCGGCCCTGTTACCATGTCTGGAATGTTTTGTGACATTGTTATGACCGGTCGAGCAGCACTGAATTGTGTGGCCCCCCAGACAAATGTCAGCCGTATGTCAGCTGCAATCGCAGATAAATGTTGCAATGGCAAGCTGCAAATAGTCTACTATCATCGAGGGGCGGGGACTGAGCAGTCTAAAACGGTTCGTTTTTTAGGCGGATTCCTTGGAACTGGAGTCCTCCAGGTTGGTTCAAGAAACATCACGGGCAGCATGAGGGCTTTAGAAAGTCTAAGTTGACTAACAGGAATTGGTCGCAGGGCTGCACCCTTAAAGGGCTTCCAGCGGAGTACTTACTGGAGTGTGGAGGTACCTCATGATCTCTAGTTATCGGTGTTGTGGAGTAAGAATGAGAAGCCTTTCGAAGTACAGTAGTTGAAAGTCTCGGAACATGTCAGCCAAAAGATCAATCCAGCCTGCTTTCAGGGGGTAATAGGACTGATAATACTTCCGGCCGTTTGGACTCTATAGTGCACTTTTTGGGCCTAGAAAAGATGCAAAAAAAATGCAGACTGACTGTGCTCCATCAATACTTCCGCATAAACAGCAAGGAATAGGAAATTAATCCAAATCAAATTCCCGACTGCAGCTCATAGAGGTTATAGCCCTGCCTAGTCCCTTACATGGAAAGAGGTGATTTTTACATGTGCTCTTACGTGCCTTGATAATTTAGGGGTCTTGCCTAGCTTTGCAGTTAGACGCTGTCATAGTTCATACTAATGATGCTGTTCCTGATACAGATAATAAACTACCAAATTAAACATCTCACATAATTATAACATACCTTCACGTGTCAGCTCATCCTTTGCAAGTTTCATTTCAATCTCTTAGAATAACCACTACAGGCTACAGCATTTAATGTGGCGTTTAGGAATTATCAGAACATCATACAGTTTGGTAACCTCTACCTAATCATTGCCTCAGAGACACCATTTACTCTGGCTAATCAGATAGCATAAACAGGCAGCAGCCTGGCAAGGCGTAAATGTGAGTTTATGTGCAGCTGTTACATGCATTAACCTTATAGCTTCCCATGAACAGATTAGAATTTAGGAACAAAGTACATAAACTATATAAATGTGCTGACTTGATCCCTTGGCTCATAATATAATTTTACTCGGTTCACAGTAATACAAGATTAAAGCCTCATACCCCGGTTATGGCTCTAAGCTTAGACGTAATATATAACAGTACTAGCAGGGATATTCTCGGCTTAGCCAGGGCTATCACATGGTAGCATTCAAGGCTCACACTTCTCAGTGCTGTATATCCTTGGCACAGCTCTAAGCTATTGCCCTGTATGTATGTGTGGCCCTATTTCATACTCACAACTTGTTAATGCAGTCCTAATTGGTGCGCTACTCCGGTTTTACATCAGGAAAATTGTTTTGGACCACCCCTTGCAAATTATTATGTACTTCAACCACTGAGGCAATAAGTAGCTATTTCACAGTGCTTGTAGAGTCGTCCCATTCTGTCCAGCCTCAGTATGTCTTGTGTGAACCATCGTAGTCTCGTCTATAAAAGTTGGTCCATAGCCCAGCCTTGGAGCATCAATCATTTTAAAATGCAAGACTCAGGAGACTTTTACCTAGATAGACCACCTAGCCTAGAACTTCTTGCCTAAGTATTAAGAGATTCCCCTAGGTATTAAGAGTCAGTCCAGGAAGAAGTCCGTCAGGGTAACTTCAATGAAATCAGAGGATCAATGTATAACTTAGGTGGTATATAACTATGAGGTACTGCGGGCATGGTTATCTAATGGAGCTATTTGAGACCAACTTGTATAATTTCTAGTATTGCTGTTACTATAGTGGCAGGCACCTATCTTATGAAAGTGCTGAACATGATTATTTAGTCCTTGACATCATCTGTTTCCGCGCAAGAGGTGCTTTGAAGAGACCTAGAAAGTAGAATCACTAGGAAATTAAAATTGTTAGTATACTGGCTGGCATCATCTAGGAAGATCTGCCTTTTCTTATCATAGATATAACGGACTACTGGCTTAATGACTGCGCAACAATGACTGCGAGCCAGTGCTACAACTTTACCTATTTTCTGGCCAACCTCGCATCTATAGGCATATATAATGATAGGCTTTTCCAGATCACTCTGCTTGTTTTCTGTAATGCCTTGGAGACTACGCGGCCTCTTAGGAGCCTTGATGACCCTAGTAATGCTAATCCTAAATACAAAATGCAAGACCTCACTGTTGCTGACTTACTGCCAGTGGTGCGTGCTTGGATATAAGAAGCAAATTACAATATAATCTAGCTCTTAGATAAGTCATGAAATGACTTCTCTGATGATACTAGGTGAGGTGGTGCCACTTTTGTTAAGTTAGAGCTAGGTAAGAAGTTACCTTCAGGATTTAGTCACTGGAGATGGATGTTCTAGCTGAAGTGACTGGAAGACATTAATTAAGTATATAATTGAGCTATAGCTGATCTTGAACCACGACGCAAGTCTCTAACAAACATCACTGTCTGTTATCTGGCGGACAAGTTCAGGGACAGCTTAAAAGGGTTATCGGAGTATCATGTAGATGGAACGGAGAAATTGGAATATGTGGTATCTGGTCAACAAACCTGCGAAAGGTGGGATGAATAAGGAAGCATCCACCATAATATCGGCAGGCAAAATTACCATTTATTTGTGGCCTCAAGCAGTCAAGAGCGACAAGAGGAGCAGAGTTTGGCCGTAACGGGTCACCTGTCGCCGCGGTCTTATAGAGGAAACGCATTAGACCGTAGCGTCAGATATGGTCACGGTTACTCGCCGTCTTTGATTCTCTTTTCTGAGACAATCGTCTTCTATCCAACCCCAGAGCTCCCAACTAATGCCCAGGCCAGCTGAACGTCTGATCTAGCCGTGGCAGCCACTGCGAACCCTTTTCCTTCCACTGAATCAAAGATCCGCGATACTTTGTCACGATATACCCGGCTCCGCACCTCCAAGGCAACTGTGGTGAGTAACGGAAGGAAGAATACAGACTCCATGCCTGCGACCTGAAGTCGCCGTTGCAAGTGCTCAAGCGCTGCGATGGCATGATATCTAATCGCGTCTTCCGGCAACATGGGGAGCGGTTCGCCCAGAATACTCCACAGCGGATCGATGAATAATCGAGAGAGGCTAATGAGACCGCAGTGATACAACGACATCATCAAATCGAAGAGCGATCTGGCTTGTATCCAGTTATATGTATGCAGATCCGGAGCCAGCTGTAGCAACTCTTGGCGGACCATATGTCCTTCCTGTATGATGTCTTTTCCTTCCCCAAAATGAATGCTGTCTCGCAAACTAGAAATATTATGTGTGGGCAGGCTATTGCTATATCGCATAGCTCGAGCTCGTTCTAACCAGATCAGCGAACTATTTTCGTGTCAGCTTAGAGGATGCAAACTTCCTACCCGCGCGGAGGCCATACCGGTAGTTTAGTCTACCCAAAAGAGCCATACATCGCAGCAGCCGGGTCTGATCTCTTTGGGTGGCCACTTCCCGAGTGCTGGACTCTTCAGCGCGGCCGAGCAGGCTCAGCCATTTGGGATCTGCAAGTGTGTTATCCTCATCGAATGCCAGAGTCCGAAGCGATTCGAGTACCCAGTACTGGTTGAATATGGCGAGAGCTACCGGACTGGAAAAGCTTTCTGGTCCTCTCAGCTGCACGATGCGCTGTAAGGTACACTTCGTCATCAGGTACCATCGGGTAGTAGATGCGTCGGTCATAAGCTGGGAGGCATCAGTGTGTTTCCGACTGCGGGTAAACCAGAGCGCTTCCAGAACGCCCATAATCCGGACAAGAGGGGAAAACAAACATGAAAGATACTCAGCAGAAGCCCACAGAGAAATGAGCCGTTGTCCCGGCCCGTGGCGGAAGAATCACATGTTTTTCGCTGCAAGTATGAACAACACTCGATGTATGTAGCCTGAGCTGTCGCTAAAAATCTCTGCTGAAGCGACGGGTCACTATGAGAGCATTCACCCGCTGCAATGACCGCTCCCAGTGCGCACATCGCTCTGCGGACTGGTTCCACCTGCCCACAGATCGAACCGGTAATCTCACGAGTAAAGCCGTTCATAAGTGGCGAATACTGTCTCCCAACTAGGTTGTAGAACTTGGTGACCAGGAAGTCATGTAGGTGAACATTCATACCTATGCCGGGACTGACAGAGGCCGGCGGCTGGCAGACCACGATGGCCAAGTCGCTACTCGACTCCACAGATGACACCGCGTCGCATCTGAGAGTCCGACTGCGGCACGCGGAGCAGGGGCGAGACCCATCACACTGAGAGTTGTTATCACGATTATGATCCAAGAGACTGCGTTTCAACTTTGCAGAACCTACTTTAATATGACTGCGCCGACAGTTCTCACAACGATGACTCTTCCGACGCTTGTCATGCGGCCCGCAACGCCGACGTACTTGGAAAGTGCCAAGGGACATCCTGGTCACCGAGATTTATGCCGCAAGGATACTATCGTTGTTGGTGGCTGACGCGCTTCAATCAACATGACGTGTAGAAAAAGTGAGGGTTGATAGACGGTCACCCACATCGTTAATCGTTAATCTGCGTGGGGCCTACCGCCTACTCTGTCTGTTACGCTAGTGTCCCACTTCAGGCGAAATTTCGGCCAAACCAGTAACACAGGTATTTTAGAACTTTACTGCTTCCGGCGTGGTCTCACCCATTTCAAGAGTCATATACTGCTTTATGATCTATCTTTGAGAATTCATACGTCTGTAGAGCATGCAGGTTTCGTGATCTTAGCGCATCAACTCTTGGAGCGTCATGATACCATGCGGAGTGCAAAGGTCAGGAAGTTCTACCTAACCGAGATATAACGCGACGGATCCACTCTCTCCTCGCTGTTCTCGCCTGAATCGAGATCGCTGCCGTGGGAGCCAAGAGATCAAAGGCATGGAAAGCCCCAGGCCAGACGTGTAACTCAGCCTGGACGCCGCAATGCCACAACCTTGTGGCGTAGGCAACGGCTTCGTCTCGGAAGACTTCTGCAGAACCAACATCAACGTAGGCCATAGGCAGACCGAAGAGGTCAACCGCCCGGCCCGGCGAAGTGTAGATGCTGATAGAATCGCTTCCAAACCGCTGTCCAAGGAGGCATTTCCAACCGAGCAAGTTACTTCCCCTGCTCCATGTGCCCTCTTCTTCATATTGCTTGCTGGACACGGTATCGTTGCGGTCGTCAAGCATTGGAGCCAGCAGCATTTGAGCGCTTATCTTTGGTCCGCCCCGGTCTCGGGCAAGGAGACACACCCCCGCCGCCAACCCTCCCCCTGCAGAAGACCCCGCGATTAACATCCGGTCGGGGTCAATGCCTAGAATCGCAGCGTTTTCTGCCACCCAGACCAGTCCCGCATAGCAGTCTTCGAGCGGGACGGGATCTTCATATTCCGGCGCGAGGCGGTATTCGACAGAGACGCAAACAGCATTGTGTTCTTGAAGATAGTCAAGGATCTCCCTAATGCCTGCAAAACGATTTCCCATGATCATCCCTCCCCCGTGAATGTAATAGACGCCAACTCCTGCCTCGAGATCGGCAGAACAATGTCTCCAGACGGACAGAACAATCTCTCCATTGGGTAGAATGAGTGGTATCTCCTCGTGAGTAAAGTTCGCGTTGATGTGAGCTGAGCCGGCACTGGGTTTCGTTCCACGAAGAAGTGGGATATGTGACTGGGTTATTGTATGAGGGATCGGAGTTGCAGCTAATGCCATTTCGAGCTCGACGTCGTACGGCGGCCGCGGCAGTGTTGATGGCATGATGTCTCCAAGGAGAATTACACAAAACCAGTCTCGATATGTTATCTGACCTTCTGCAAATCACCGAGGATTTGTCGGAGAGATTGTTCAAGACCGAGGCGGATGTCCTGCTTTTGTCCACCTTTTGCGGAAGACCTGGAGTATGATGATAAAAACTCACCTAAACCAGACCCCGGTTATTGCCCGGATAGTCAAGGTTTGTCCGGCTCAGACGATACTTAAGGTGCTACCACTCCAGAAATGCTGCGGTGGAAGGGGAAAGGGGGTTAAATCTGCTTTAGTAGCGTTCCTTAGCTCGCGTTCCCGGTGTGCTTTGGGATACGGCATTTTCTATTAGCCACAGTCAAAAACCATATTTGTTTTGAAGCAGGGATCGCGACATTATTACCCTATTGGTATTAGTGGTTAGTTATTAGACTCAAGGCTGACTACGGGACCGGTTCCACCAGTTTTAGCCTAGTCCCACTGCCAAGCATTTATTCCCTGGTTCATAACTTCTACCAATTATTCGGACATTCCGACACCCCGATCTGACAAATTGTCTCTTGACTTTCTCCAGCGGCGGGGGGSGGGGGGCGGGGGGCGTAAGTGGTTCTGCTAAGACGGGAGGCCGTCCAACGCAGAAGCACCCACTCGGTCTACAACGTTCGCCGAGCTTATTCATTCGCCATAGATGACTTACGCAAGGTGATTTATTTGCCTTTGCCAAAACCAAGCTTGAGACTTAAGAGGCTTGAGATTATAAAAGCTCTCCGGAAGTCTCGAGCGTTGGGTTAACTCGTCAAGCACACCAAACCCACAAAAACGGCTGCTCATCATATCAACAAGTTCAATTTCAATCTACTACATCTTAACTCTACGCCATGTCTAAGTTGATCACCGTCTTTGGCGCCACCGGCAACCAGGGTGGTTCCGTCATCGATGCCATCCTCGCCGATCCCCAACTCTCAAAGGAATTCAAGATCCGGGGTATTACCCGCGATACGACCAAGAAATCAGCCCAGGAGCTGGCCAAACGGGGCGTTGAAGTTGTCTCTGTAAGATTCTACTTGATCACTAAGACTTTCAGAAGCAATCATTCATAAAGGCAACCTTATATAGGCTGATTTAGGCTCCGTCGACTCTCTTACCGCAGCCCTTGAGGGCACCCACACCGTCTTCCTGGTCACCAACTACTGGGAGACCATGAATGCCGACATTGAGTACTCCCAAGGGAAGAATGTGGCTGATGTATCCAAAGCTGTTGGTGTCTCTCACCTCATCTTCTCTTCCCTGCATCATGTGAAGGAAGAGAGCAAGGGACGACTCACCCATGTTCCTCATTTCGATAGCAAGGCCAATGTTGAGAAGTACATTCGTGCTTCAGGAGTGGGGTGCAGCTTTGTCCTTCCTGGATACTACATGAGCAACTTCAAGCAGATGCTCAATCGGGCTGAGGATGGTTCATACCAGCTCTTCTACCCTGTCAGCAACCAAGCCAAGTTCCCTCTGTTTGACGCTGCCCAGGATACAGGTAAGGGTACTGTATTCTCTCTCTCTGAACAGCAACTGAAGTATCTATACCAGGTCTCTTTGTAAAGGCCGCAATTAAGCACGCGGATCAGTTGAAGAACAAGAGAATTCTGGCAGCCGCCAAGTACTATACCCCTGAAGAAATTGTGGACACCTTCTCGCAGGTTTCCGGCAAGAAGGCTGTCTTCATACAGGTTTCTCCAGAGCAGTACAAGGCCTCCTTGCCTCCTGCTGTTGCGGAGGAGTATCTCGAGAACCAGCTGTTCGTCGAGGAGCCTGGCTACTACCTCGGAGAGCCCCTGGAACCTAGTCTGAAGCTCCTTGACTCTAAGCCTACTACATGGGCGGAATTTGTCCAGAAGAATGTCTCCGCCTGGAAATGAGCTTAGTATGCCTGTCACTCATGAAAGAATCCTAATCTTGATGTGGAAAACCGAAATGAATTCATATCGTTCATAAGTCTCTCTTTAAATTATCCAAAATTGTATAGGCTTCGTGTATAATTCTCCAACATCAATTCAATCTGATTATCCGCCTGTTTCCGTTAATTTTGGCCATGCCACTACTCAGCCAATGTGCAATGCAGGGCATCGTAAGGAGGAAATATCCCTGTGGAGCGAGCCCTTCGTACGGCGACTAGGATCACTCTTGTTTCGACACCTGATATACCTGCTCCCTCACAGAGTAGTGATGGCTCTATTTAATCATTTCAGCTGTTCTGGAGGCGCTGATCCTCTATGATTGTTGTTGTCCTGGCTTCTGCCCCGTTAAGATTTGTACCCTGGGTGTTCTTTAGTAGGCATTTTCGCGGACAGAAGCATTGGTTGTCCAGCAACTACCACATCTGTGCTATGTCAGTTCCTGTGCCATCACAAGGTTCCTGCAGAAGGCGGTGCCCCAGCCGAGCACACAATGACAGCCCGCGCAAATCGAGGTTTCCCATGGGCTCCAGTACCGCGTCGCCTGATTCCCAGCGAAGCAAATGGCCTAGACACTGGCGTTCGTCTCTATAGGAGTGATTTCGTTCACTAAACTCTAAGGGATTCAGATTCTAACTAGAGGGGAGTGTCCCATTACAACTTCCCTAAAACCAATACACTTCATGATGTTTTTCATAGGAATTGACATTGGGAAAATGGCCCCTAGGTCCACACCTTGTGATTGTAAGCGAAAGCAGAGAAGATAAGGGAGAGTCCTTTGAATGCCCAGGACCTAATGAGCCCCATTGATAGGGTATTCCCGGACATGCAATTTGCACGGCCTGGAAGAACTGAAAATTCAAGCCTCTGGGAATCTGACCTCGGAAGGAACCAAGAACGCCATCGACGGCTAAACTAGGTAAGCAGGAGGATCCCAGGTATCTCCAGGGGCGAAGAGTGAACGTACTGAGCTGGCCGACGTGCAAATGAGTGCCCAGCAAAAGAAATGGGATGGCGGGACCGGCCTCGAAGAGGAGGCCGAAGCCCGAAACTTTAGTAAGAGTGCCACCCAAGAAGTGACGATCGTTACCTGGTCCGAGATTTCATTTGCAGCCATGCGTTGCCATTTGTTTGTTTACACATGGACCCATTACTCGCAATCGGCGCTTGGACTGGTTGAGGACAGTGCACCTGGAAATTTCACTATTACGATAGTGCAGTATGCTTAGAATATTTGATCGCATTCAGAATATTGGACAGATCCAAAACTCCGCGTGACTTTCATACTACTAAGCCTAGTGCTGTAGCAGCTGCTGTTTATATTTCTTCAGAGTAAATGCTCTAAATTGGCGGTAGTAGTTTCGAGGGACACGCAAATTGGGCCCATACAATGTTATGTTTTCTGTACACCGGCAGAGGTAAGAGATAAATATTATATATTCCTGCCATGTGAGCATTCGTAGTATTGCATCATTAAACAACAATCCGAGATACAAGAATTAGATTGGCTGGGCAACCATTCTTTTCCCCCTTTTACCACTTCTCCGAATACGGCCTGAGGTCTATTTCATGCGTAAATGAAGACCTGGGCTGGGTGTGCAAAAACCAGTATGATTCCGCAATCTGGTGAACAGTGATCAATACAAGAACCATATGCCCGGGAGATTCTAATTCACTTACCCATTTAGGGTCAATTTTCGAATCCGGAATGTCTTGGCTGTAACCCTTAGTTTTCTCGGTATCAATGATCCCATCAATGATAGCATGGGAGACATGAACGCCCTTGGGCCCGAATTCACGCGCGAGAGACTGAGACAGAGCACGGATTCCAAACTTGCTCATGGAGAACCCAGATAACCCAGAACCGCCTTTGAGTGCAGCTGTTGCACCTATTAGAGGCAGTTAGAGATGATTTATCAGTAGATCTGAGTATCTTGTACCTGTGAAAATGAGAGTGGGCGGATAGTGTCCTGTGGCTTTATTCAACATCAAGGGCAGTGTAGCCTGAGCGAAATTGAATGCTCCCTTAATGGACGGCTCGAGGCTCCCTAAGAACTCTTCGGGGCTTTGTTCCAGGAAAGGAGTTCTTGTAAATTTACTTGCAACGTTGTAGATCGCTGCCGCGATGCTAAGATCAGGACCAAACTTGGTCTTGATCTGTTCCATTGTCGAACTCATACTCGAGGAGATCGTCACGTCGGTGGGTATGCCCATTGCAGAGCCTCCACTCTGCGTGATGTTGTTGACTAATGGTTCGAGTGATAGTTGCGATCGAGCAAGCAGAACCACAGGGTAGGTCTTAGCAAACCGGCGGGCGACAGCACTGCCTAATCCCGGCCCTGCGCCGGCAACGATTACAATAGCTTTTGGCATCTTGTATGGCTTGTGATGGGTGAGGTCGTATGTTGATTGACTAGCACATCGCACAGTCCGCTCATTTATAGGATCTTGAGGCAGGGTGGCATTATCTACTAATGATGTGGATGATCATTGCATACAGGAACTCTAAAGTTCAAAAGCATGATGACCCAACGATTGGGTAATTCTCGGAGACTCGGCGCTGCCAGCGAAGCCGAGATTATATAATCACTGCGTCCTCAAGTTTCTTAACGCCAAGCATACCCGCTGGGCTGACTGGTTGACAATGATGCTGTGGCTTGAAGCTAGCATACCCTGGGCCGATCTAACATTGAGCCAATCATTAGGGTCAATTGCCTCCAGTAGAGTTTCGAGGTTTGTCACTTCTCGCTCTTCGTTGACTGGTGAGACTGAGAGCCATTTGCAGACCTTTTTTCTCCACCCTTATGCATAGTAATAGATACGGTAGGGATCCTTAAACTCCGAAAAGATGGAGAGCAACAGCAATCAATGGTGTTATTACAGGAGAGGTGAAAACAATCTCATCAGGCAATAATCTTCTAAATCTGATGCCAATACTACATAATTATCCCTTCAGTGTCTCTGTTGCCTTCGGCATCTTCTCCGCCATCATCCTCTCCTGCTTCTCAATAAGCTCTTTGACTGTCGGCCGGGTATTCATTCTCTCCAGCCAGGCCGCCACATGTGGAAATTCCCCTGCGTCAAATCCTTCGTCCGATAGCATACTCTCCGCTGCATTCTGCCAGGACACAAAGGCCAAATCCGCGTAGGAAAGCCTGTCCCCCACAAGCCAGTCCCTTGTCTCTAGCCAGCGGTTTAGTACCTGGGATACCCGCCGAATCTCGTTCAGATATCGATCGAGCGCGCTCTGGACGCGCTCTGGATGGTACCGTTTGAACCACACTGCTTGCCCATAATATGGCCCTTGTCCAGATGCTTGGAAGTACAGCCACTGGCGGGCCTGATGCGCCTCGGCAGTGCCCGGGACAAAACTAATCCGCCGGTCTTTGTCGTACGTCTCAATCAGATATTCAATGATCGCCCCGGACTCCCAGAGGGTGATTCCAGTATTAGGGTCGTGGATTGCGGGAAGGCGACCGTTCGGGTTGATGCTCTCGTAGGCAGGGGTCTTGAGTTCACTGAATTCGATGGAGACAGGGTTGGTAGGGAGATTGAGCTCCGACAAGATTATGGATATTTTGAATGGATTAGGTGCGAATGACCCTCCGTAGACCGTAATCGGTTTCAGCGGTTGCGACATAACTGTACTTGGTATTATTGTTTGCTTCAGGAGAAGTACGAATGCTTGCAGGGGGAGTTTCGGCGAGAGGAGAGAGAAGGGCGAGGGGAATATGTATGAGTTCTCTCGCTTCGCATTGTACAACTCCGCCATTTGACCCAATCTTCTCTGTCTTCATCAATGTGATTCGACTTGGCTGGGTGGACATTTGCCCGCCATCCTCGGTCTCGGGCCGCTGCTTGCCTCTGAGCCGAGCCCGAGACTGGCGATTACCAATATACCTGGCCCAATAAATCTGCGCTCGAAAACCTCCACTGTCGCAGGAAAAACCAGAGCCCCGCCAGCATCGATGCATAGCTGCCTTAGGTGCTCAATATCATGTTTTGGGTAAGGCCATCGCCCCTGAGAATTTGCCGGTGGAGTTTAGAAGTTAGTTTCGCAGTGTGAAGAGGATCGCAACCTAATTGCCGTACGTTTCCCCAGAAATGCGTTTATGGCTCATTTTCTTCCCAAGCCATACCTAAGGCTTGGGTGTAGTAATACAATTTAGGGTCTCCAAAAGCTGTCACACTTGTATTCCCAAGCCTGCTTCGTGACTGGCAACCAGCTAACACTCCTGGACCTGAAGCTACTTGTGGCGGAATGGATATAACCAAAGGGATTTCGAATCAATGCAAGCGGCCTGTCAGGGTTTGAAGTCAGCTGTCTGTTAAAGGTGATGCTGTAGGGCCTGTTGTCGGCGCCACCTTCCCTGTCGGAGCATGGCGTAAACACTGGGCAGCAAATCAAGCGTTATTTTGGATAGACTCTGAAAAGGGGAATTGGAGCATGTTGGTGGTGTTCACCACATCTGAACCAATCATGTCACAGTTGAGCAACACAGGCTCGAACATAATGAGCAGGACGGTACCTGTGGAATTTTGCAGTATAACCTATCGCATAGAAGCATCAACTACTGGCTGAAAGGTATATGAAATTAAGACTTAATTTGGATTCTTTACCAGACTGGGCGCATCGGAGTTGCCAGGAAGGTCAAGCCCGGTCTTTCGTGAGAGAACAGTGAGTGAGCCAGTAATGGCTTTGCGTTTAGGAACTCCGTGCAAGCCAATATGCTAAAGTTCATGCAGCGTACCCACCACCGTTCGTGGCGCACAGCAGACAAGAAAAATAGTCAAAACATTCATTTAGTCATGAACCTAGTGGATTGCTGAGAAAGCAACCCCCAACACTACATTGTATAGCGTAAAAGGTCGGCCTGAGAAAAGACCGATTTCCCGATCCATTAATAATCCTCTCTAAGCAGCGATCTTCGTTTGTGCTGTGCCCTGTGCCCTTGTATGGGGACGCAGCTCCTTTCACGGAGCAAAAAGATGCTTTTCTCCGGCCTTGGCCCAAGACCTTGGACTATTCAGAATGTCTTAGTGGTAGTATACTTCCCCTGAAATATAACTTACTCTGTCTAATCTGATAATGGACCCTCAGCGCCTCTCTGTCTCTTAGTGTGGGTATCATAACTACAGAATTCGAAAGTAAATTCATTATCTTCATCCCTTTGTTGCACACAACTAACGAGAAGGAAAAGTAAGAAAAGAAAGAAAATAATGGCTTCGTCATTTGTCGCGATTGCTGGCGCCACCGGCATGCTGGGCCAGCTTGTCGCAAAGGAGCTCACGAATCGCGGCGTACCCGTGAAGGCCCTCGTCCGCCCCAACACCAGTCCCTCGCGTACCGAAACCCTGAAGGAGAATGGTGTCTCTGTTGTTCCTGTCGACCTATCCGACATTCCAGCCCTCCAGAAAGAGCTCACAGGAGCCAGCTGCGTCGTCTCTACGCTGCAGGGTTTAGCCGACGTCATCCTGACCGCGCAGGGCAACCTCCTCGATGCTGCAGCGGCGGCTAAAGTGCCCCGGTTCATTCCTTCGGACTTCTCCCTCGATTTCACCAAGACACGGCCGGGAACCAACCGTAACCTGGACCTCCGGCGCCAATTCCACTCACAGCTCGATCGGTCGGGGATTGCCTGGACCAGCATTCTTAACGGCGGCTTCACGGATCTACTCGGCGGAGACTCACCCATGATCAATCACAAAAAGGGGAAGGTCATGTACATCGGCAGCGCGACGCAGTTACTGGACTTTACCACCGTGGCGGACACGGCCGCGTACACGGCCGCTGTGGCGGCCGATCCCAATCCCACACCCCGGTTCCTCCGCATCGCTGGCGACGTCGTTAGTGTGAAGGACATCTGCGAGATCGCGGGGAATATAGACGGCAAATCGTTTCGGCCGTCGTGGATGGGCACCGTCGGGTTTATGAACGTCCTCATCTGGCTTCTGAAGCTGTTTGGAGGCCAAGATCAGATCATGCCAATTTGGCAGGGCATGCAATACATGGCTAATATGTTCTCCGGCGCTGGAAAGCTAGAACCCCTGGATAATGACCGTTATCCCGGGTTGAAGTGGACCAAGGTGATTGACTTCCTTCGAGAGGATCGGAAGAAGCAAAGGTAATGCGGAGACTCAGTTTTGTTGTGGATCGAGGCTCTATCAAGTAGACATTAGAACTCCGTATACGGTTCTGTATAGAACCGGATTGATTTCCAATCCATCTGATGTCCGTCTTGCATACAAACACTCAAGTTTTCAGATGAGAATAATAATAATTGACCTTCCTCCGAATCACAACAAGTTTCAATGAGTACAAAGCAAGGGTATCCGGAGCCGAGTAAATTTGAAGTACTAGCTTTGCTTTTTACGGCTGCCATACATGATATCAGAAGGATCAAGCAGGGACACGTAAAACCATCATAGGAAGCTAAGTTAGGTTGTGTGATGGCACTGATATAACTGACTGACGGAAGCTCATCATGGAAACCTACTATCGAAGTCGATGCTGACGCGACTGCTTCTACTACTACAGTATCACCTCGCCATGAATGTCTCTATGGGAGCAGAAAGTGTCAGCCTCATGCTCTCCTACTGGATCTCTCTTCCGCCACGACCAAGTTGAAGCCTTAGCACAAAGTATTTGGCATGCTTTGAGGAAATTCTTCGCGATCTTACACAAACGGTCGATGAGATTGATTTGCTCTCCGATAATAGTTGGAACCAAATCGCTCTATGGAGTGCAGCCGTGCCCTTAGAATCCAGCAAATGCGTTCACATGATCATTGAATCTCAAATAGCCAAGAAGCCCTATGATCCGGCGATCTGCGCCTGGGATGGAATAATGAACTACGCCGGGCTGGACAGTTACACGACTATTCTGGCGACAGAACTCGTCCGCCGTGGGGTCGGACCTGGCGTGTTTCTGTCTCTCTGTTTGTCGAAAAGCCAATGGGTCCCTGTAGTCACCTTCTTGGCCTCCTGGACCGTCCTCGTCCAAAGGCGTCCCCAAAATCCGTCGTTCAGAAGCACAGCATTCTACGCACTATCTTCTTGCCCTTCCAGGACACCATGCTGCAGGTTATCCTGTGCAGCATTGAAATACAGATCAATGAGGTTTTTTTTAACGACACCGATTTTGTTGCAGTGGTAGAGATGCTGTATCAACGAATATTTTCGGCTAGAGGCCTATGCTTAACAACGCGAATCCAGGTGACGATAGCTCTAGGGCCACATTCGCAGTCGGCATTAATTCTGCCACGATCACAGTCCCAGTATAATGATGTCTGTATGTCTTGTCTGGTGAAGGTCCTCTCCAGCGCGTACAGTAATGGCTTGGCTCTTGGACCTGGGCCCACCTTTGCGGACTATCTCGTGCATCGAGCTCAGCTTGATAGTTTAGGTGGCTTCAAGCACTGGCGCGCACTTCTCCAAGGCTCCTCAATAATTCATATATCATCATTCCCAGCCTCTGTTCCCTCTATGCTGTGCCAGAATGCTGTGGTCTAATGAAAGAACACCCTGGTATCGCGACGGTGGCTGCTATTATCAAACCTGTCCATTTAGCGGCGCTGGCGTCTAGAGCTGATTATACGTGGGATACGCTGAGTCTGACTGCTGGGTTGCAATTGAACAGTACCTTAGTATTCGAGCGGCTTGCATCCCTAAGCTTACGCCTCTGTTTATATCATTATGTGTCGGCGAGCCAGCAGGTGGACCAAATCAACTTCCAACGAGCTGTGAACAAGTCATGATCGCAAGTTGAGTTTTCCCTTGACCATGTCTGCATGTTGCAAGTGGAAGGCGAGACCCACGTTGAATCTCCCATGGCCTGGGCCCCTTCAAGGAGAGATCCAGATCGCCGTAGCAGTTACGGCGAGGCCCTCATCAAGACCGAGCCTACTTCACCTAATGGAATCCCCAAAACAACCGAGTGTCATACCCACAGACTGGTGCGATACACAGGAACGTGATTACTATTTTCCATGTATTTCAGATTAATGTCAGAATATTTATTACGTCCGCCATAGCACCTACCTATTTCAGTCCCTAACGCACGGGCAATGACTTGGAATGTTGCAAAACATCCTGACGTGATCAGAGATGCTGGAGACCGACGGATATGCCTCAATGTTGACGACGAACGTTGGTGGTGGTTGACTACAGATCTATTTAATCGGCACCAGAAAGAAGAGAATGGCCCACGTTAAGCTATTGCCTTCCAGGTAGAGGACAAAGAGCCCGGTTTCCTCCAATCTAATGTTGTGGACTCGTCGTCAGCTGATCCCGCTTGCTCTCATATAAGTGGCGTACTAGCTCAACCTCCACGTTTAACCTCTCGGTGAACTGCCTGCTGGTTCTTTTCCTCTCGATGGCTTACCAGGCTAAAGGTATATTAAGAACAGTAACCGCGTATTTCATTAATGGTGCGGGTAAAAAGGCCGAGGGGGCTGTGTCTATAGAGAGGCTCGGGAAGGTGACGGTTTCGTAGTGGCGACGTCATCTATGCCAGTCAGGTCACCTGTGCAAAAGCTACCCAACCCCAGGCCAACCACTAGTAAGCTCCAGAAAAATGGATAAGGTGCCATGTGTCAGCATGTGCAAAGCTCGACAAACCTTACAAAAATAAGCCCGGTTTTGCTGTCGTCACCGGTTAAGCTTACGAGATGCATCGATACATATCACCCTGCATTTGAAAGGTTCCCGGAAAATAGTTGATGTCAAGCATTCGACAATAACATTAGTCGATCTGTGTATTACCAAGGAATATTGCGCATTCATGGGATGCTAGTTAACACGATGAAGCCATCGCCAAAATCTGTCTTTGATCATGTTGAAAGAACCAAGGCTGGCGGTGCTAGTGGTTTCCGCTACCATTTTTGCCCTGGCGACCACCTTCGTCGCCCTTCGTTTCTACTCCAAAATCATGATAGTCAAGAAGCTTCGGCACCACGATTACTGGAGCCTTCTGGCCTGGGTACTTTGTGGATCTCATTCGTGGTCAAAATACGTGGACTGATGTTTCACAGATCATCGATTTTGCCTTCTCGTTCTCCTTATTCTACGCAACAGCTAAGGGCCTCGGACTTCCTGCGGCTGATATAAAGCCAGAGAATCGAGCTAGTATCACTCGCGCTACCTTTACATTCACTGTCCTTTATGTGAGTCTGCTGCGAGTCCCAGTGATGTTAAACCTCAAAATGACCCATTCTCATCCTCGTTAGAACCCAGCTTTAATGACAGTAAAGACGTCGATCCTTGTTTTTTATCTGACCTTCGCCAGAGGCGAAAAGCTTTTTCGTCTGGGAACCTACGTCACTCTTTTTGTGGTTAATGTATCTGGCCTCGCCTTGACATTCCTCACTATCTTCCAGTGTCGTCCTGTGGGTTCCGTCCTGCTGCCAACGCTGCCGGCAACGGCGTCCTGCACCAGTGTGATCACACTCTATTTGTCCAGCGCACCAGTGAATATAATCACTGATATTGCTATCCTCTTCCTCCCGATGCCTATTCTGACCAAGATGCACCTGCCGCGGAGGCAGAAATACATCCTGATAATCACGTTCGGATTCGGCTTTTTTGTGACAGTCGTCGACGTGATTCGCATTGCGTATCTCCAGGACGCTGTGACAGAGACTCGGCTGACATCTCAGTCGCGGCCTATCCATAGTGGCACTCTGATCAGCATTTCATGTACGATCTATGCCACCCCCTTGTACGGCACATCATGCTGACCTCTTATACACTAGCGTCCGCTGCATTGTCATTCATGTGGTCTGTAGTGGAGGTCAATATGTCTGTCATTTGCACTAATGTTCCACTCCTTAAGCCGCTCATTGCTCGCATCATGCCGCGGATGATCGGCGTCAGCGGCAAGAGGCACGGGAGGACGACCGGTGCAGGAAACCCTCCTGACGAGATGCAAGGCATTGGTCCGTCTACGAATATTTCCTTATCAGCTATCGACCCGGTAAACCATTCTGGATCGCGCGGTGATCACCCCGGCCCCTCAGATGAGGATGCGGATGATGACAGTGCGGATCTTGGTGCCCAGATGCATTCGGAGCGCCGAAGAAGCAAGCCACGCTTAGGCTCTTCTGCAGGAGTTACAGGGAAGTATCCAATCCTACTAGGCACGTAACATAGATTTTCGTCCTAATGGTTCCTTGTCACAGACGTTGCATTAAGCGGAGTCCAATCTGCGGAGTTCCAGCCCGGCGTCGCTTTTGTTGAGTTTGTACGCTTGAAGAGACCAAAGAACATGCTCAAACTCAATAATAGAGAATCGCTGGCACCTATAGCCTTGGTCACGCTTGTTTTCTGGCTCTGGGGATTCTCATACGGCCTTCTCGGTAACTTGAGTAACCATCTTCAGGCTGTTCTCGGGCTCGATACATGGGAGTCCCTCGGCATCCATGCTGCATACTTCAGTGGCTACCTCGTTAGCCCAGTAACGCTTGGTCGCTGGGTTTTGAAGGGATGGGGATACAAGGCTACACTGATTACAGGCTTATCCGTTTATGCGTGTGGGACACTGATATTCTGGCCATCTGCCGTGCTGTCATCTTTTCCTGCTTTCATCGTCTCCAATTTCATCGTCGGTAGCGGATTGGGGGTCTTGGAGACCGCAGCCAATTCTTTCATCGCCTTATGCGGCCCACAGGAGAACGCCGAAATTCGCTTGAATATCTCGCAGGCCATCCAGGCGATAGCATCAGTCGTTTCGCCACTACTTTCGGAGGAAGTCCTTTTCAAGAACGTGACAAATGTCTCGGCTTTAATCAATGCGCAGTGGACCTATCTCGGTATTGCATTTTTCGACCTCCTTTTAGCTGCAGCGCTATACTACCTACCTATTCCAGAAGCCCCTGACGACGATCTTGAGCAGATCGCAATCCGCTGTCGAGGAGACGGATCTAGCAAAATGCTGGGGGTTCCGGTCATGTGGCTGACTCTGTCCTTGGGTGTTGGCTCACTATACCTCTATGTAGCCGGCCAAGAGGTTCTAGCTACCAGCTTTGAGTCTTTGGTGGCGGCGTCTAATCTCCGGTAAGAAATTAAGACTATTTTTTTCTTTGATGATTGACTCATCCTGCTTCATGACAGTTCGAACCTTACAGCCTTTGACTACGTAACTATTGGTCACACAGTGTTTGCTGTTGGCCGTTTTCTGACTGCTTTGGCACTGTGGTTCCTGAAGCCTCGGTGGATCTTGATGATAGCATACACGGGTATGGTGATTTTCTCCACGCTTTGCCTCAAGACGTCTGGTTTGACAGCGGTAGCCATGGGCCTGCTCATCTACCTATTTGAAAGTGGTGCCTTCAGCACCCTGTTTGCCATATGTCTTCGTGGTATGGGAAAACACACAAAGACAGCGGCCTCTCTTTTGGCGTCCGCCATCGGCGGTGGGGCGTTTCTGCCTTTTGTGCAGCATGCGGTGTCCACGTCTCATGGGGTGTCGTACTCCTACAGCGTCCTTGTCGCTATCTTCAGCACCGGGGCCATTTTTCCATTATATTTGAACCTTGTGCCTGCTGCTAAAAGGCAGGTAGATCCAGTGGCCCATGTCTTCGAGGACAGCCAGCTGCAAGTGAGCGCCTCAGAAGCAGATATGACACTTGGGGAAAGAGATTCGCGCTGTTCCGGTGGGATTCTGTTGAATCCATAACGTGTGGATCGCTCAGGTCTCTCAGGACAGGCCTCAATGGATATTACAGGGCTGCGATTACACGTTCTGTCACTTGGCAGACTATGTATATAAGCTACTGGGAGTCCAGTTGTGACTAAATTTATTTTAGAACCACCAACTGAGCGTCTAGCTCATGTATACCATGGGATTGCATCAACAAGCTCACCTATACTCCCAATACCCACCCTCACACTCATCTTCAATTATCTGTGCATTTCAGTAGTGGCCATTTCTATAGCCTCGAATCTCCAGGCTAAATATAACTTCTAGCCAAATTGATAGTACCGTCTTAAGGCCAACTGAGTAATCAGAAGCCCTAGTTTCGATGTGCAGACCCTCCAGCAAGACAGACTGCTTATTTTCCAGCTAAGTACAGAGGTAATGAGTCTCTGAGAGAGATTGCCACAGTCCTCGCCTATGTGTGATCTGCGGAGTGAGATTAATGATCTTATTCTACTTCATTTTTGCTCCGCGGCGTCTCTGGGCTTGGCTCCTCTGGGCTTCTTAGGTGTAGATAAAGGCGCTCACACAAGCAATGCATCGGCATCCTTTTGGAGGCTGGCGCAGTAGTCTTCCTTAGTTGTTGTGTTAGCACCAGCAATGTAGGTCCTATGCTATAGGACGAAAGTTATTCTAGTTGTCATGCGGATGGAGTAAATGCATAAGAAATCTGGTCCCTAAGGAGATGGAACGAAACCATTGAGCTAAGATAAATTGAGCGCTATCCATAGATTCTTTGATTGAGACTAGGGCCCATTGAGAAACAGTGGGCTGCAGGAGACGAAACCTCACACAAACTGATAAACCTAGCATGTGGTTGATAAATTTATATTCCATATCTTCTTGTTGTCGTCAGTTTAGCATATGTACCTTTAAATCCCTTGTACTGGCTTCAGGTAAATGTATAGGGGTTAGTTTTAGAATTCTATAAGCCATGCACCATTTGCTTTTATCCGTTACGCTCGCGTGATATGCCACAGCTTCCAATTCTGTTCTAAATGAGGGCTTTCAGCCTTGCCCGACAAAGAGGCAAACACAGAAGATATATCGCCTTCTTTTCGAGGACTTTGTCTGGAAGTGGCTAGAAGTCTGAAAGGGTGGTGCAAGCGAGTTCGTAAATTTGGCCGCAGATTTCGTGGACGGCTCAGCTTTACAGTATGAGTACTCATATTGAATCCCTGCCGGGGTAATTCGGTGACGTAAATGAGACAAACGAGGATATCGACCAAGGGCTAGGCACTCGAGCGATATCCCATTTATATAATTAAATGGCTTTGATCATATGGACCTCGATCGAAACCGTAACTATACAAGCGGATGGTTGCCTAATACGCAGGGTATTTCGGCGGAGGTATTTCCTATCTAGGGTAAACTCCGCCCCCCGGTCGCCACGAAGTCCTTAAAGCAGTGAACAATAGTAGGGAATTTTCCATGCGTCAAGCCAAAAGTAATTCAGAAACAATTCTTGACTTGTATGATGCCAGGCAATATCATAATGCACCGAACGACCGAAGTCCATGTTTTCATAGGATGTCTTCTGGACTTTGATGGAACCATCATCGACTCTACGGAAGGTGAGACTCTGATAGGGCCGCCAGAAAGTGATCGCTAACGCTCTTGTGCAGCTATCGTTGAGAATTGGAAAAGGTGAAAAAAGCCATACCGCTCAAAGGAGACAACTTCGCTGATTGGAGTAGACTCGCCGATGAATTAGGATTGGACCACCAGGAAATCCTCCGAACATCTCATGGGAGACGAAGTATTGACGTCCTCCGCCTATTGGATCCTTCAAAGGCCAATTGGGAGTGTAAGTATCCTATAAGGGAGCTTGACCCGGATTCTCTGACTCTTGTATTGCAGATGTTAGCGCCATGGAAGCACGAATACCCTCCCTTGCCTCCTCACCCGCTGTCGAAATCCCAGGTGCTCGCAGGCTTCTTGAATCACTGAGTAGCCGCCAAGTACCGTATGCCATCGTGACTTCAGGGACAAAGGTACTCTTAGATGGGTGGCTGGGAGTCCTACAGCTACCACGGCCGCAGTATGTTATCGTTGCAGAAGACGTCAGGATCGGAAAACCGAACCCAGAGGGTTACAGGAAGGCGCGGGAGCAGCTTTCTCTATCCCGCGGCGTACCTGACCAGTTTCTCGTGATGGAGGATGCCCCTGCGGGAATCGAAGCTGGGAAAACAGCGGGATGCAAAGTCCTAGCAGTGGCAACAACACATACCGTGGAGCAGTTGAAGGCTGCCGGCGCAGACTGGGTGGTAAGAGATCACAGCTATGTGCAAATAGAGGATGGAGAATCCTCTGGCGAGTTCAGATTTATTTTTCATGATTTACTATGATATATCTGTATAAAATTAGCACATATTGACAATTGAATGTCGGTTACCGAGTATCCGTTTGTGGAATATTAGACCTCCAAGCTGACGTGAGAACCTACATGGGGGTTGTCGGCCTACTATATAGGAATATCAATGTGAGCACAGGGATATACCTTGAAGTTGTAGGATAAATCAATTTCCATCGACACACGTATGGCCCTTTCCTTGGCAGCACTATCCACCCAACTGCTTCCTATCGGCTTGTTTTCGAACCATAAAATACCATTTCCAGCAATCTAGCCGACCCATGCACTGGAACCTTTCAGGCATCTATATACTATGGCATACAGCATCTCTGGTCATGTACTGCAAACCTGAATGTTTTCAATTCTTCGAGAACAAAGCGACTTGGCATCATGCTTAGAGTTGCATTCGGTCCAAGTTCAGGCGAGTCCAACCCAGTTGGAACTGAACCACTGCGATTTCAAGGGCAAATTTTAGAAATCAGAACCAAACCTGATCCATTCTGATTTGGTTCAAGTTTAACCGCAAATTCCGCCACTAGGCCTAGATAGGTAGTCACTAACTAACCCTAGTTAGATTCAGTTCAGTTCGGTTTTGATTTATATACCTAAAAGGATTAATTTCAATGGTTTTTAGAACTTAATTTCTCCTACCTTAGGCGCCTATCGAACATGCTTATATAAAATTATTATTTTGATATAAAATATATGGTAATTATAGTCATGTTAATCTTTATCTAAAATATCGACTCAATATCTGTAGGGTTGAATGGGTGGTGGTTAAAAATCATTCTTTAACTATAGTGATTGTCAAATGTTAATGCATATATATAGTAATATAAACCACCACTACTTTCATACCAACCTATGACAGAAATGATTATTCCCGTATATCTAAACAACCACTAGGCATTTTGAATTGATATTTCATATTTAGATAGACTAGATACTAGGCTATCTAGTGATATTAATATTTCTAGAGAAAGCATTGAAATTATTGATTACTAAGCAAAATAGTGAGGGTTGGTTAACCTAGGTGGATAAAACCTCAAAAACTGTAACTAATGGTTTTAACTAAACTCAAATCAGTTTCACCCTATAGAAACTGAAACCGGTGTGATTCCCTAGGCTAGGAACCGAACCCTCACCGTTGCAAGTTCAGTGAGGGTCGGATTCGATTTTAGCAGTTGGGTTATGCCAGGTTACAGGTGACACCACCCTTCGTTATGCAACTCTAATCATGCTTCTTTTTGTGGCGCGGCAACCTGCTTTATTTGGCTCAGCCGCCCTTCCCCGGCTTCGGAATATTGCCTAATTTAGTTAGAAGCCGCATTTTCGGGAGGTATGGACGTCAGTCAACAACTGTACATGACCTGCTGAAGGGTCGCAAAGAATAGTATATAACCCAACTTAAGAAGGAGCAAGATGTTTGGTATGTCCAACCGCAAGCTGTGCCAATTTTCAACTCATAACTGCAGAGCCATAGTCTCATTATGATCAGAACTGTGTCACCAACTTGTCTGAAATGCCCTACTTTCCGCGCAGGAAACTGCACTGGAACAGTCAAGCGGCTCGTGGCAACTCAAGCGTCGCCAATCACTCGCAAAGACAAAAAGGAGGGCGATATTTCCTCCGTGTTCTCAACTTTCTCTGGAAGAAAGAGTCCTCCGCTGCCCGAGCGTTTCCGGGATTTAAAGCGTAACCTGACCACGGGGTTCGAGGAGCAGATTCAAAGGTCGTGGGATGAGCTTGTTGAGGTTCTGAAAGTACGGACTGAAGAAGTCGCTACCAAGCGAGAGGCGGTATGTTCTTCGCATCTCTCCAGCGGCGAAACAGCCATATACTAAAAGGAGTAGATCATTCCTCAATTGAAGTTTTCCGACATTCAAGCTGGAAATGTCTCACCGGCGGATGTTGCTGCCATCCGCCGTACCGGTGTTGCCGTCATCAGAGGCGTTATGGACAAAGATGTTGCTGAAAGGCTTCTCTCTGACGCTCGCCAATATTTGACTTCCCGGCCATTCAAAGGCTTCCCGTCTACTTCGGACAAAAAGGTGATTGTTGGCTTTTGATATTCCTCGATCTGAAGCTCACTTTTGAATCAGGTTGTCTACGAATCATATTGGAGTCCTTCTCAAGTGAAAGCGAGATCACACCCCAATATGCTTGCCACGCAATCATGGATGAATCAGCTCTATACTGCCGACCCCGATCAAAGAAGTAATCAATAGTGTCAAACAAAACCAGACCGAAATTTAACTAATGTGTATTTCTAGTTGATCTCTCGCTCCCACTCACTTACTGTGACCGTGTCCAAATCCGCCCACCTGGCGATCGGCATTTTGCGCTTCCGCCTCACGTCGATGGCGGAGGAGTTGAGAGGTGGGAGGACCGTGCCTATAACCATGTCTACCGCAAGATTTTTCAAGGAAAGGTAAGCCAAGTATTTCATATTACTCTGTCTGCATAGGCAACTGACATCATCATAGTGGCAGGAGTACGATCCATGGGATCTAACCGGCCGCCTCAATGCCAACATGAATATGTATGAAGGGCCCGGGGGTTGCTCGATCTTCCGCACTTTTCAAAGCTGGCTCGGGTTATCTCGCCATGGACCCCAGCAAGGTTAATTAGTCCTAGACGCAACGACTCGCTCAGTGCTGATATATGGTCACATTAGGTACTCTTGTCGTTCATCCAATTTTGCAGCCCGCCACTGCTTATTGGATGCTCCGACCCTTTTTCAAGCCCACTCGAAAGGACTCCTTGGACGGATGGAAGTTTTCCCTTGACGATGAGGAAGGCAATGTTTATCTGCATGGCGCCAACCCGGGAACTGCTCAAGAGCTTACCCCTGCCCACCATCCGCATCTGAGACTGGCCGAAACCATGATTCCTTATCCCACTGTAGATCCAGGTGACACTGGTAAGGCTGTCGCTTATTCCATAAACAGAACGATGCTAAGGCTTATAACCATAGTGTTCTGGAGTGCCGATACTATCCACGGCACGGAGATGGACAACTCAGGAGACATTGATGCTTGTGTGTTTTACATACCATCGGTTCCACTGACCCCCAATAATGCGGTAAGACAGCTGTTCACATTGCTAAGCACGCGTCCTTGGCACTAACGGCGCATAGCGATACGTCGCGCAGCAACGCGAGGCTTTCTTGAAGGGCATTCCTCCTCCAGACTTCCCCGGTGGGCTTGGAGAGTCTGAGTTCTCTGATAGGGCAACGGTTGGAGATATCCAATCTGAAGCTGGCAATGTGGCTATGGGCCTAAGCCCTGTGAAGCTCGATGGTATGAATGAGAAGTCGAAGAAGCTCGAGAAAGAAATCAACGAAATTATGGGCTTCTAAGTGTTGGTATATGGATGTTGCGTTTCCTTTTAAATTCAATGGAAATATTCGACTTTATTAGTTCAATGATTGATATCACTTAATCCATAAAATATTTTTGCACTCATAAATTGCCTTGGATATCCGCCGTTAAGCTATGGTATATGCCATGTTATCTGTAGACAGCTATCAAAAAACCATAGTACAGGAGAAGTATCTGAATGTTGCGACGTTAACGTTACGGTTTAGTCAATATGGAGAACCAGCTATTGTCTGGATAGCATCATATACGAGACGATCTCTGTTTTAGATGCAGGATCACTGAAATTGCTGAATAGTTGAATTACGTTAAATAGAAAATTATCAAAACCTTAAAAAAAAAAAAAATAAAATAAAATAAATCTTAACTGTCTATGCAAGCTGTAATATATATAAACAAGACGTGAAACAAGAATGGCATGTCAACAAAGAGAGCTGCAGACGCCAATACCATCTATGACTCAATTATATTTTGCACCTGACATACTTGAGTCGCAAACTTTGAGATGGTCAGGCTCGGCCCCAGCAACTGCTGGAAGGGCATGTCCATAGCAAACTCCTTAAAAATCCAATTGCGTAATTCGGCTCCAACCATGGAATCAATTCCGTAGGAAGCGATCGACCCGACCTCAGCATCCACATCTGCAGGGTCAAGCATTAGCATGCGCGAGAGCTTGTCGATGAAATGCTTGCAGATGAGTGCGACCGCCTCAGCCGGCGACTCTGCTGCCCGGATGCTGGTCAGGATGCTCAGTTGTGCGCCTGCTGCGGCTTCATCAGATGAGACGTTGATGGAGTGCACGGCGTGACTGAAGCGAGCGTCATGAAGCCAGAAGCTGTCGGTGCTAGCGCTGTCGTTAACGGCCTTTTGTAACTTAGCAGGATCAAGCCCGACCACCACATGGTCTGGGGCGGGTTCAAGGTGAGTGTTGGAGATGATGGCTGCTTCAAAGGACTGTAGCAGATGCTGCTCGTCAATGCCGTACATGCCCTTGCGCTTCAGAGCGTCCTCGAGCGTGTCATTCTCAGCCACGACGCCAACACCCAGCACCATCGGCAGGACAACGGAGGTGGCAGCCTGGTTACTGACTCGCCGATGGCGGGCGAGTGAGTCCAGGTAGGTGTTGGCCGCGGCGTAGTTGCTCTGACCAGGGGTGCCCAGAATTCCCGAGACGGAGCTGGTCATGAGGAAGAAGTCTAGTGGCTCGTCGGCCAGGACAGCATGCAGGTTCTGGGCTCCGAGCACCTTGGGCTGGGTAGACTGTTTCCAATCCTTGTAAGTCATGGAGTGGAAGAGTCCGTCCTGCAAAATTCCCAGTCAGTCAATGAGACCTTTATTACCCATATGATAGGCATGAACTTACCCTCAGCACCATGGCCGCATGGATAACACCTCGAACTGGGTGCTCCGAAGGCACACCCCTGAACGCGCGGGAGACATCTTCTGCTGATGTCGCATCGCCGCGAACAACCTGAACAACCGCACCAGCGGCCTGGAGCTGTCGAACCAACTCCGCAGCTGATTCTGCATCTGCTCCTGAGCGGGAGAGAAAGGTGAAACGACGGGCGCCACACTCCATCATCCATGACGTCAAACTCCGTCCAAGACCGCCCAGGCAGCCGACCAGAAGGTATGTGACGTCCGAACGAAGTCGCAGCTTACCACCTCGAGTGGGAAGGATCTGGATGGGAATGTCAGATGTCTGGTACTGAATCACAGGTTTACCCGCCCCGAAGGCGTCCGAGAATTCTGACACTGCCCGGTCAATCTCGCCCAGATGGATGGGCTTGATCGGAACTGAGCTAGAGTCGGCACGGTTGACCTCGGAGACAATGGCTGGAAGCAGCTCAGACAGGACCTCTGGCCGGGACTGGTAAAGCTCCAGGATGTCGAAGGGGATGTAGCTGGCACTACGGTGGACTGGCAGGGAATTGAGAGCTCTGGCGCCGGAAGTGCCCTTACGACCGCTGTCGAGGAAGCGGCCAAAGGAAGCGATGCAGCGCCATGCCTCATGGGCTGCTGTTGGATCGACACTTGACCCATCGCTGAACACCACGTCGGCTCCGTGGCCGCCTGTGAGCTGCTCCAGGCGCTCGGAAACCAGCCCGTCCGAAGGCCGGATGATATGACGGGTATCTAGGCCCAGATGGGTCTGCAGGAAAGCAACTTCCTCCTCAGCGTCTACCACAACGTAGACGTTCGCGCCTTTCCGCTGGGCGAGTGTGATGGCGGCAACACCCGCGGATCCTGTCTTGTTCAAAACCAGCACATTCTCCCCCTTTCTCACACCGGCCAGAGTCTGCAGCCCATAAAGAGCAGCAGCATAAGCTGACAGCCCGCTGACCGTGCTTGTCATGTCCTCATCCGTCTTGAGCCGCTGCAGCATCACGGCCGGGACTTGCTGGTAGCTATTGAAATGGGCCGCATGGAATCCGACCACTCTGTCGCCGGCTGTGAAGCCAGACACCCCTTGACCAACTCGCGTCACGACACCACCAATCTCCTGGCTGAGGGTGGTGGCGTAGTCGGAGCCAGTGATTACCAGTACGCCTTCCTTGGTAAGACCACTGCTTTGCACCTGCACTTCGACGTGGCCGGGCTCGACACCAGAGTCTTCTTCCTGCTGCTGTTGCTGGAATAGAACCTTAGTCTTGGAGACCAAGCCCGACACACGGTCTCCAGGCGTGAAGCTCTTTGGATCAGGCTTGTCCTGCGCCGTGTATAGCTCGTTGAGGTCCTTATTGCGTACCAGTCGACTGATGTATGTTTTGTCGCCAGAAACGCAGAACTCGCGCTCCGGCGACTCTTGGGGCTTGGTCTGCATTTTCAGAACCCTGACCACGGACTGAACAACTGACTCAGCATCGAAACTGGCGGGATCGACATCCAGTACGCGGAAGTCCAGAGAGGCCTGTTCCGCCGTGATGGCGCGGGCAAGACCAGAGACCATGGCGTACTCGGGCTGCTTGCCTTGTAGAAAACCTCCAGGGGTCACCCAGAGCAGGGATGAGGTACAGGCCACGATGTTCTGGATGGCGGCAAACTCCTCTTCCTGGAGGGTGAAAAGCAGTGGGCCCTCGAAATCGGCCAGCATGATGACGTGTCCCTCTATGTTGGAGGTCGAAGCCATGAGGCTGGTCACCCTCACATCCCATCCAAGGGCCTCCAGTGACGCCATGACCGTGGCGACGATGTTAGTTGGATAGTTACGGTAGACCAGCTGAACTGAAGCCGTGTTGTCTGTTTTTGCCTCGGAAGTTTGGCCAGCAACTGTCAACTCAGAACTCATCACCGATGCACCTGGTTTGACTATGCCGTTCAGGAGACTCTGACCCTGGGGTCCTGCAATGAGAATGTCGTACGATTCCTTCTCCAGGCCCTGGGGCTCCATTTCCTGTGACGGGTCCACGTGGACGGCTCGAGCATTGCGGTATCCGTCAACAACGCGCGTAGCCGCCTCCAGCTCTTCCTCAGAGGTGACGATGACTGTGTAGAGTGTTTCCGGGTTTGCTCTGAGGATCTCTGTCGCGTGACCCATACCAAGCTCGGCCACCTTGGAGGCAGGATACTTGAACAGAGCCAGATTGGCCAGCTCCGACGTGGCGAGTCCCTCCCTGTTCTTGGGGTCCTCGAAGTCCAACTCCCACGCCATCTGGCCGTACGGCGCCTCCTCCAGCGCGCTCTCGAGTCGCTGGGGAACCGCCGCCTCGTAGGCTGTTGCGCGCATGTTAACGATCTCCATCAACATCTCGCCGTTCTGCGCCGAGGTCAGTTGGACTGTACTCTCCGATGTACGAAGCCCACGGCGGTGCACGTTAGCGTATGCAATCGCCTTGCTCTCCGAGAGTTGCTCAGCTGTAGGGGGCCAGATGGCGATTTCGTCGACCTGCACGGGCACCACACCGCAGGCCATGGCTTCGGTTCGACCAGCGTAAATTGCAGCTGTTCCAGCCAGTTAGTGCTAAATGTCTAGTAAAACATAATAAGAAAGGAGTTTTCTTACCAATGCAAAGCTGCAGAGTCGAGTCAATCGACGCCGGGTGCAGCACATAGCGTGACTCGCCCAGGTTCTCGTCGACAACCTGCTTGATGTTGGTTGTGCAGGACGCGTGATAGCTTTTTCCGTCGAAGCGCACATTGTCCATGTCCTGGAAGGTAGGGCCATAGTCGAAACCGACCTCGCGTAAGGCCTGATTCCACGCTTTGCCGCTCGCCCTCTGTGGGAATCGGGGCACCGGCCGCGGTTTCTTTCCCCGGGGGCGGGTGTTGATGCCGATGCTGCCCTGCATGTGGTTTTTATTGATGCCAGTGCTGTCCACCGACGAGACCCGCCAGTCCCACTCCTTGCCCCCGTACACGGACGGACGCATGTTGAACAGGACCTCGATCCCGTCGTCGTCGTCCGGAGTCACCAGTGCTGTCTTGATAGACACGTCACGCAGCACATAACTCTCGATCTCCACAGGGTCGTCGCTGAGCTCGTTGATCTGTCGGATCGCCTCGATAGCCATCGCAAAGTATCCCGCAGCTGGGAAAACGGACTCGCCGCCCAAATGGTGGTCTTTCAGCCAGGGCAGGTCGCGCGCTCGTAGGACATTGCGCCAGGTGGGCTCCGCCAGGGAGCTGCCGATGACTCGCTGGCCCAGCACGTCGTGGCGTGGGAATCGGGGCTGCCGCTGTTCGCGACTGCTGCGGCTCTCCGCCCACAAGGGACGCGTGTAGTTCCACTGGTAGGGGGGAAGATCCACGATGGTCGAACCCTTGGTCTGGCTGGGTGTTGCTGTGCTATCAATGTAGGCGCTGGTGACCTTCTCCATGTCCAGAGCCTTGTAGCTTCGCAGGAATAGCTCCCCTGCAACCTTCAGCAGGCGAACTGCACAATCTTCGCCCCGTACGAGTGTCGGGATGTACTCGATCTTGTCTGCCTGGCTCTTCAGCGACTCTCGGATTTGTTTGACGGGACCGGCCAGGGCCGAGTGTGGTCCGATCTCAATGAGAAGGTCCACCTCCGCAAAAGCCTTGTCGGTGAGAACGGTCTGCACAGCTTGGTTAAACAGCACGGGGCTGCGCAGATTCCGACTCCAGTAGTCCGCGTCAAGGAGGGTACCCTCAGGTAGAACGGTGTTGGTCACCGACGAAACCATCCGAGCAGACGTGGCCAGCGGGGCGCCGCGTCTCCTACGATGTTGCTTGGCCTCATGCATGAGGGCCCGGTATCTATCCGCCGCCGGTGCCATGTGGTGTGAATGGTACGCCTTGCCGTTCGTCTTCACCGCGCGGTTGAAGACTCCGGCCGTATTCAGCTGGGATTGAAGGGATTCTAGGGCGTCTTTGTCACCGGACAGTGTGATCAGTGACGGGGAATTGTCACAGGCGACGACGATCTGGTCCTCCACGCCGACCAGATACGGCTTGACCGCATCAGCGGACAGACCCACGGCTAGCATCGCACCGTTGGTGTCGACATCCTTGGCTACTCGTCCACGGTAGTAAGCCGCCACAATTGTATCCTCTGCCGAGATCAGTCCTGCCGCGTATGCGGCCGCCATCTCGCCTGATGAATGACCAACAGTTACGGTCGGACGGACATTCCAGGAGTGCAGCAGTTGCACGATGGCGATCTGGACAGCGGTGCACAAGGGCTGCGAAAACTCGGCGTCGTTGACGGGCGAGGCATCCGCATGGGCAAGCAGAACATCTTCGATTGACCACTCGGGGCCATCGTGCAGCTCGCCGAGCACCTGGTCCAGTGCCCGGATAGACTGCAGGAACCCCGGGCAATAGTGCATGAGCTCTACGCCCATCCGCGCCCACTGCGCGCCCTGTCCCGTGAAGACAAAACCGACGGAACGGACGCTTTTCTTATCTGCAAAGGCAAAGTGCTCCCCCACTGCATCGAAGACCGTGTTCAGGGTCCCGTAGCTGGCAACTGCGAACGCCTTACTGGCGAGTACACTGCGTCTGTTTGCTAGTGTGTACGACAGATCGAGCAGGCTATAGTTAGCTGCGATCTTTCCATGGGCGTCGATATTGCGACGCAGCGTGATTTTATCGTGGGCGGAAAACGGGAGGAGGTAAGGTCGGTTGCGTTCCCAGGCTCTTCTGGAGCCGGGAAATCGCACTCTGGGCTTTTGCGTCCAGCGATCGTCGTAGGTGTAGGCTGCTGGCCCGTCGCGCGTAAAGGACTCCGTGCCCTCCACGATGACGTGAGCGTTCGTCCCACCGTATCCGAAGCTGTTGATGGACACACGACACACAGGGAGCTCGCGGGGGAAAGGAACCGCCTCCATGGGGACCTTCACCTGCCACTCATCCCACTTGATGGCCTTACTGGGGTTCACCACCCCGCGGGTGGCCGGGATCATGCCCCGCTCGGTGATCAAGATGGCTTTGATCAGGGCGGAGATGCCGCTGGCCGCCTCAGAATGACCGATGTTGGTCTTGACGGCGCCAATCCACAGGGGTTGGTCAACATCTGGGTGACGCTTCTTGTTCATTGCCATGGACACAGCGTGCACCTCCAGCGGATCCCCCACTGCAGTACCGGTTCCGTGGCACTCAAAGTACCCTGTGAGCCGTGGGTCAAGGTCTCCGCCACGTTTGTAAGCCGCAGCAATTACCTGGGCCTGTCCTTCGCGGTTGGGATGGGTGATTCCAGCGCCAGCGACTTTGCCATTGGAGTTGGTGGCGCTAGATCGGATCACGCCGCGGATGGGATCGCCATCGCGAATGGCGTCGGACAGGCGTTTCAAGTATACGGCACCCACCGCATCGGCACGGCCATATCCATCTGCACTCTCGTCAAAGGTATGGCACACCGATGTGGGCGACAAGACACCGAGCTTGGCGGTGTTCATGTGCTGGTCAACGGTGATGATTAGGTTGACACCGCCGACGATAGCGCCCTCGGCTTCGCCATTGCGCAGGGAGTTGCAGGCATTGTGCAGCGCATATATAGATGATGAGCACGCCGTATTGCACATAATGCTGGGCCCGTTCAGATTGAAGACGTGGCTGATCCGGTTGCTGATGATCCCTGGATCCACGCCAGTCGCGGCCAGGCTGTGTCGGAAGGAGTGCTCCTTAAAGGCCATCTGCTGCCAATCAGCCGTGAAGCTGGCGGCAAACACGGCCGTGCGGGTGCCGGCGATCTTCTCGAGCGAGATGCCCCCGGACTCCAGGGCCTCATAGACAACCTCGAGCAGTTTCCGCTGTTGCGGGTCCATCCACATGGCTTCCACAGGGGTGATGCCGAACAGGCCGGGATCGAAATCTGCTAGATCGTCGTTCAGAAAATACCCACCCAGGACGCCAAAGCTACCGGGACGGTCATTGTTTTGGTGGATGTGCGCATCGATGTTGAATCGCGAGGCAGGCACTTTGGGCGTGTTGCCGGTCCCTTTCTTCATCATGAGATCCCAAAAGTCAGAGACACATTTCACATCGCCAGGCAGGCGGCAACCTATGTGTCTTGTTCAGTTGTCATCCTCGAGACCCATGGTGCGCAAGATGGCTTACCCATGCCAACAACAGCGATTGGTTCCAGCTGCTCTTCAAGCGGCTTCTCCGCATAGTCAGGGAATGACTGTGCCGGGTATCCATCGTCAGATCCAATGGACGAGTTGCTGCTCGAGGGCACAGTTCCACGGGGTTCCTCGTCTGACGTCGATGTAGACGACGTGCTGGAGCTCCTGATCACGGCAGGCATTTTAATATTGGGACTGGGATGGGGATATTGGTGAGTTTAGAAACGTCCCGAGGAGCCTATGTACACTGTGACCGTTCAAAGTATCCAGATATGATATGAAATGATTGATTGCTCAGAGGATCTATGCCGGACAGTTCTAGATTTGAGCTGGAGGGGGGAAGCCCTTCAAATAATACTCGTCTTAACAGAGCTTGTCCTCAATTCGACAGCCCTTGCCACGCGGAAGAGACTTCTAAGCCTCCATTTCCCTACCGAAGAACCATAGCATCAAGCAATGCGATCTCCCGTGCTCACACCGAGACCGCAATTCCTTCAGCTCGAGGTAAGACGGACATCCTACTAGCGGAAGTCTCGGGAATTGGCGCACCGACCTTCTATTCCGAGGGATTTGAGGGAGGTCTGTTGGTTAGCTGGGCACTTGATTATCAAGATACCGCTGCATCTACGGACAAAGCTGACTCTCACCGGCCTTCCTAGGCTCATTTTACCAACGATCACTGTTGGGCTTTGCTTACTGGTCAACACCGAAGGCCCGACCCAAGGGTAAGCAGCCTCTCGCTACTCGTTATCAGCAAAGAACGGACCCCTGCGGGCCGCGCAGACTTTAATGAACCTGAGTCAATGGGAAACGTTCGCGTTATCGGCATTCTACCACCCATCTTCCATGGATTCTACACGTGGAACGCCATCCCTGAATAGTTGTGGCATAGCGATTATAACTAAGTGAGATTAGAACTGGCTATGCACCCTATGTGGAGTTTACAGGATGGAGGTAGGGGTAATATTAACTCTCGGCAGGTTGACGGAAACGGGCATATATAATCAAACCCTACTACAATAATTGCTAGGTCAGGACATGGCATAAACTTCTTTAAGCTGATAATTCTGTACATTCTTATTCCACAAGTCGTAGACAGGCCCTCTGTAATTTCAAAGTCTTATAAGAATCGTGTCAAAAGCATGCTTGTCCTGCCTTCCGTAGAGACCACACCCTCTTCCGCATTTTGATAATCCGCCGCACAGGAAAAGCTGTGATGAGTAGAGGAAGAGACCAGAACCTTTACTGCTTGATTACGTCGTTCTGCTTTTCCAACTCCTTCTCCTTATCGTAAAGTAACCATGCCATTCCAGCGCCAGGGCCCAAAACCGCTGTGACAGCTGTGAATACCAACCTGGGATCGACAGCCGGCAGAGCTTGACTCGATGGCTTAGCAGCGGCCACACTGTCAAAGTCGAATTTATAGAAACCCACGGCAAGCACACAGAGATTTATGATAATGTAGTCATACTGGATAAAGAGCATGGCCCCCTCAGCAAGGTAATATTGGCCCGGTTGAACAGCGCTGTGGTTGGGCCAGTAAATCCGACTCAGAGTGACCGCGGGAAAGAAGTAGGGACTCAGCACAACACCAACGTGGCAAATAGCACTAATGCCACCGACAATCCAATAGGTAACTGTGGTAGGGTTTTGCACTCCCCTGTATCCGGTTGCGGTGATGAGGGAACTGACGGCGGCCTGGAAAAGACTCAGAGAAGGGGGCCCCAGTAACCACAGGACCATTCCGGCCTGGATCTGGAATGGACTCGCCCCCAACACGGTGGGTATGAGCAAAAGGGCGGATATCAGCGTGTTCCAGATGGCGGAGAAGGGAAGAGCTTGTGCCTGCGCGGGCGGGATGCGAGGAAGAGGCGTCCGTAGTCGTTTCTCCACGTACAGGTGCAAGTAAACTGGGAGCGCGCAGGCAGCGCCGAAAAAGTTCCACATGGTTTGCCACCAGGCAGGACTGGAGATATCCATCGTCAGTTTGATTGTGGCTTTGTAAAGGTGGGATAGGACTCGGTCTCCTTACGATCGTAGGGGACTCGTCTTCCGGTTTCGTCGACCTTCTACCACCGTCATCATGTTGAAGACCCCGATGGCGAGAACCAAATCGACTGAGATGAGAAAAGGTCCGATGTCCGGCAAGTCTTCAATGCTGACGACCGAGTTGAAGAACACGATGAGCAGGCTCAGGAAAAAGTCGATAGCCCGGATGCCGGTCCAGCTCTTCTGGAGCGCTGTTCCTGTTGGGAAGATGCCTCGCAGGTTTGTCGAGATCATCTCAGCAAAGGTGCCGTTCAGCATCATGAGGATCCATAGTGTAAAAATCCCGAGACCGCTGAAGGTACGGAAGATGTAGTACGGATCTGACAGTGCCATGGTAGAGAGTTGTCGCACGCAACGGAGTCAATCGACAGACAATATTGAGTACCTGCGTGCGCTATGAGTAGAACCAAAGCAGCTGGGCACAAATATTAGTTATTATTTCACGCAGAGCAGTTTCGGGTGTGCCCCTGTAGATGGTGACTTGGTGAGCCCCAACTGAGTGCGGGAATGTGCGGGCCGCCATGTCCGAGACCATCAGATGAGCTGGTGAGAATGCGTCGGCCCACGCTCGGCCACACACGAATTCCGGTGAAATGGACAAGGCTAAAGAGAGCCGATTAGCACGACGACTCCATAGTAGTCCAAGTTTTCTCTGCGTTCCCAGAGACTGTGAGACACAAGATCATCCTCAACATCAATCATGGGCTCATCGATGAATGCCGAGCGTGTGGAGGTGGTTGTTGTTGGTGCTGGTATGCAGGACCGTTTGTGTCTCAATTCTTCTACTGATTTTTGCTACAGGCTGGAATGGCTTGATATCGGCAAAGACATATCTAGATTTCAGACCGTCCGCCGACCTCGTTATTCTGGACGAGCAGGCGTCGATTGGAGGTGTCTGGAGCGCCGACAAAATCTATCCAAGCCTCTACGCGCAGATCAAATACGGCCTGTTTGAATACTCCTTCTACCCGATGCGCAATGAAGGTATCACGGAGGATGGCTACATTTCGGGGGATACCATCCACACCTACCTGAACGATTTTGCCTGGGACTTTGATCTGGTTCGACGGACTCGGCTGCGTACGGCAGTGACCAATGTCTTTCAACTCCCCAGTGGAAACTGGCGACTCGAAATTGCCGGCAAGCCTGACATTGAGTGCGAGAAACTCATCTATGCCTCCGGGGCAACGTCGCATCCCGTCATCCCTGTCTGGCCCAAAGCAGCCAGTTTCAGTGCACCGATCATCCACTCCTGCGAGACAGGGACGCATCTTGACGCACTGCGCCAGATTCAGTCGGCAACCGTCGTCGGTGGTGCCAAGTCCTCATACGACACCGTCTTTCTGCTGCTGAAAGCGGGAAAGAAGGTCAACTGGATCATCCGAGAGGACGGGTGTGGTCCCCTGGCCATCATGCCCCCCAAGCTACTCGGAATGGTCAATACCATGGATGTGGTAACCACGAGAGCAATGATGCTGATGGGCCTCTCCATTATGAGCACTGATGGCCCTGTTCACCAATTCTTCCAGAGGACGATAGTCGGACGGTTCATCCTCTGGCTCTTCTGGCTCGTTGTGAACTGGTTGGCCGAGAGACACGCCGGTTACTCCAAGTCGGAGAACGCCAAAAAGCTACGGCCAATGCCTCATGGAAACGGGTAAATCCAGACCTCCTCAGTTGTCGGTGCTTGTGAAAAAGCTAATAAATCTGGCTGTCATAGGATCTTCTGGGCAAATGCTGGTCTTGGAGCAGCCAGTGTCCCGCTCTTCTGGAAGACATTCCACGCAGGCGAATGCACCGTCCACCGGACCGAGATTGACTCATTCGGCGAGGACAACACGGTCCGTCTCAAGGACGGGACTTCGTTTCAAACAGACTACGTTATTCTGTCGACAGGGTTCGACAAGTCCTTCCACGTTTTCAGTAAGGAGCTGCAGCATAAATACGGCCTTATGCCACATGCAGACCGGAGCTCTGCGGAAGAGAGAAAATGGGCGAGACTCGAGGCCGAAGCCGATCAAGCTATCGATGAGTTGCTTCCCGCGCTTCAGAATGCCCCTCATGGTATCGGCGAGGGAGTCATTCGCGAGAAGACAACTGGTGGGCATCACATTTTGCATGGGCCTAGCCGGCATTATCGACGCTTGGTTGTCCCTTCACTCGTAGCAGCGGGAGACCGATCCATTTACTTCCCCGGCTTCATCCACTCCATCTACACTCCCACGGTATCCGAGGTTCAGGCGCTATGGGGGGTGGCGTTCCTCCTCGGGCTGCACGACCCGCCGTCGCTGCGCGAAATGGAGCAAGAGGTGGCTGAGTGGAATGTCTGGACGCGGAAACGATATGTTGGACAGGGTAGAAAACATGCTTACGCGATATTCGACTTTCTTCCAGTTAGTATCTCTTGTCAATTCCCCGTCGTCCTAGCTAATTATCCTAGTATATCGATGTTCTTCTTAAAGATCTCGGCGTGAACCCCCGGCGCAAGAAGAGCTTGTTTGCCCACTTGTTCATGCCTTCCTACCCACGCGACTACAAGGGCATTATTGACGAGTTCCGCCAAACCTTGGCCGCGACGCAAGCGTCCAAGTCAAAGCATACCGTATCCTTTGCTCTGCCAAGCCCGTCTGCTGCCAAATATGATGGCATGCAGCCCGGTGCGCAGGGACACGGTAGGACCAGTGCTTCTACCAACGGCTACAGCACCGGATTATCTCTTAACGGGAACAAGCCATTCCGGCCACTGGCTTTTGCGAATTGATCGAGCCTTGAGCAGTGCTGGGAGGGTCGGGCAGCAATTGAACAGGATTCCGGTATACTAGACAGTTATTATGGCGCTAGCGAGACGTTTATGGAAGCGGAAAGGGTTGGTTGTTCGACTGTGATGAATAAGAAAAGACTACTGTACTTGTTTTATTCCTCGTGTGATTCGGACGGTTCAAATTTATTTTATGTTACTTTAAATTCAAAGTCAAACTCTATTATACATGCATGTATATATATCATGATCACAATGTATGATAGGACCACAGCAAAATACAACTTGTGTCAATTAACTGCATCTGAACTATAATATGAACTGAGAGAAGTCCAAAACGCTCGGCTGATTTTCTTCAGCCCGACAAAGTCGCCCATCTGTATCCTCAAACCAAGATTCACTGCCCACGCCGGCATTGACGTAGAGGAGAGACTCTGGATCGTACTTGTTTTTGATTTGAAGCAATCTCGGATAGTTGCTTCCGTACATCTCCTCCTGCCAGTTGTGCTGCTTGTAGTTGGCCTCGTTCAGATAGACTCCCCCGCCAGGCGTGGCCCTATCCAGCATGGGCTGCATGACATTCACCGCGAAATCCTGCCGCCTGGCCATTTCAGCCGGACTAGCGGTAGGATCCCAGTGTCCCGAAGTGACGCAGAAAAGAAGGGCGTCACGCCAGGCAGGGTGCACCGCGTTGTCAGGATGCGACTGCCACTTGACATTGAGGGCCTCGCAGGGCATCGGGGAGTATCCATCCACCAAGGAAGCGTTGCGCAGAAGTTCCGTGATGACCCTGTTCTTTGTTTGGTCTGTGACCATCTGCCGTGGGATGATACGGCTTCCAGAAAACGTTGCAAAATCGACCAGGCCTTCCGGCGAATCACCCAGGTGGGCAGAGAAATGCTCCTGGAAGTTGCGAGACACACGGGGGGAATACTGGTAGTCGATTCCGCGATCCGCCAGATCGTCCAGAAAGGGCTTGATTAGGGAATTTGCCTGGTCTAGATCCGCACCAGGCATTGTGGCTGCAAAGCAGTAGAAGGCGTGGTTCGTCAGAGTGTAGAGAAAGGAGTTGCCAGCGTCCACAAAGGGAGGCAGAAGCTCGTGAAAGCTCCCAATTGCGTCCCAGAATTCGTCGTTTCCAACCTTGCTATCATCGAACGCCAACGTAGCCCCGCCAATAATGCCGTCTACATGTAATCTGGCTGTCATGGAAAGCACAACGGCAAAGGCGCCCGGACCACTACCACTGAGGGCCCAGTACAGGTCCGAATTTTGCTCCGGGCTCGCCACCAGGTGTCTCCCGTCCATGGTGACTACTTCCCACTCCAGCACGTTATCTGACCCCATCCCGTGGTTGTTAGATAGGATCGAGTGGCCTCCGCCCAGGCTGAACCCGCCTGCGATCCCCACCGTCGGACAGACGCCGCCAACGATGCGGTGTCCCGTCGCGTTAGCCGCAGCATATGCCTCAAACCCCTGAACGCCGGCCCCGAGCTTGATAGCTGGCCCGCTGTAGTAGGAGGACTCGTACGTGGGGATAAACTGGGTGGAGTTCAGGTTATGTGTCCACAGGGACAGCCCACCTTTTCCCGTCGACTTGCCCGCGTAATCATGGCCCGTATTTTTGATGACCAGCCGGATGTTGTGCTCCTTAGCAAAGTTGATCCCTGCCCTGACGTCCTCGGCAGATCTCACATCAATCACGTAGCTGACCGAGTTGCCCAGCTCACAAGGCTGAGACCTAGGAGTGAATGGATCACAGGTGTAGTTCTTGAAGTACATGTTGAACACCTCGGAGGGACTGTCGATACTGCGGGGACATCAGCAAAGCTAGCAACGAGCTCGGAATGAATACGCACTGGGATAACTTGGTTTTATTCCATGTGTCTTGGAGTTCCGCACACAAGTCAGCATCATAGTTATTGAAAGGGACATCGTGGCAGACGCTGGCAAGAGGGAGGGCTGCAATCAACCGTCCATCAAGGGTCGTGTTGAGGGTGGCCCATTGATCTGGCTTTGGCCAGTCTGTATCGCCAGGTAGCACCCTGCAGTCTGACGATGGATTTGTACTGAACAGACTGGAGTTGGCAATCGCAAGTAGTCCTAGAATCAGTTGTTGAGTTGCCATTGGAACTTGTACAAGTTGATGGAAGGCTCGTTCAAAGACACAAAACCTCACAAGGTAAACATACAGAAACTAGATATCAATGAGTATCTACTGGATTAGAACTATGTATTCTAGCCGATAAAAAGTTTTGGGCCTGAGGCCATGATTGCAGCTCGGAGATGGCAGGCCGCTGATCCCGCCATTAACATGGATAACAAGTTTGGTTAACTGAGCGCATGGAATTCCTCTGGCACCAATTGGCTACAGCAGTGATTATTGCAACTAACATAACAATGTAGTCCTTCGCCGTTGTCTTGTCCATACACAAGCAACCGATTTTGGCGTGCGTTCGGACAGGGCGGGCCGAAATCCCCGCTGAGGCCGTCTTCCGTCCTTAGCAGATCATGAGACTATGGCTGAGTGCTGTAGTGATATGTGTTCAGTGCAGTGGGCTTAATTCTTCCAAGGAAGTAGTAGTTTCGGAACAATTTGGACTTATAACTTGATCCAATGTTAAGTGTACCACAATTGTGTATTCTATGGCTCTTTATAGCATGATGTTATCTTTAAAGACAGTAATATATCGGAGTTCTTCACCTACGAACCCTGCGTAATGTTTGCGAGGTTATCAACTGGATAGGGTGCATAGGTAAACGCAGGAAAAAATCGACCAAAAGAGTGAAAGTGTTTTGCATAATGGTAAAGATAAAAGGATTGAAATCCAATATACTCAGACCCAATGTCAATAGGCGGCTACATGGCCATTAGCATATCCATTGACATTGACATGGCCATTGATATGATGATTCCGGGGATCATCGTTCTGGTCATACTCTGCCCATGGCAGCAGCCCAGACGGAAACCCTACACAGGGAAGAAAGTCCAGCTTGGGCGCCGAAGTAAAGTATGCTCCAACGTGGTTTGCCAGCATCCTGTCATCACATAGTGGGAAGATCCAGTTTGCCAGAAGCTTGTGAAGGGGGGTGGCGTAGGTATGCATCTTTGCTGCCATGTGACTGAGATTCATCAACTCCTTGATGCGTTGGCGCTGCTCCTTCTGATATGCAGCGAATACCATATTGAGCGCAGTGCCGCTTGGTTTGGTACCGCCACAGGTGGTCCGCATCACACGACAGAGGTTATTCATAAAGGACGCAACGCCCTCAATGGCCGAGTTTCCGCCAAGAGCAAGATTAGGATGAATCTGTAGATAGTGAATAACCAAGTTTATGAAGAGGCAAAAAGACGAACCTTGTGAACTGCATCGCCGAGAAGACAAATACGACCATGATGCCAGTGCTCCATCACGCCCTCTTCAAGTGAGATGACAGAGGCCCGGGTACGTTGTCTCCAGATCTCAGAGAATAGCAATTGGTCGGTGACGGGCTTATCAGCAACAAGTTCCGCCAGTGCATTGGCATCCTCATCAGTGAAGCGCTGTCGTTTTGGCCAGGTGAACGGCGTGTCAAGGAGGAAGACCACGACGACGTAGACAGCATCCGGCTGAGAGGTGGCAAGGAAGGTGAACCTATTGTTATAAGTTATATTAACTTCCCGCTCACCAAGCTCGGGGATGGGAGGTGTGGAAACTAAGAGCGTCTTCCAATTGGTATTCAGGGCTAAGGGTTACTCAAGAATGAACAGTCAGCCAAGGCATGTTCTTCTTAAACTCCCATACAGGGTCGAGTTTCTCGTACAGGTCTTTTCTTTAACTTGGATCAAGCCAGGTGAGGTTTTTGTCGCATGATCCCACATGAAGCTCCGAATCAAGCTGTGGACTCCATCACAACCAAGGACCATGTCGCCAGTCTCAATAGTGCCGTCTGCAAGGCAGACCTCCACCCTGTCTGGAAACTGCTTCACGTTTTCGATAATTGCTTTGGTATGCACAAATGACTTGTCCGGCAAGCCGTCGTACAGAATCTGCAGGAGATTGCGTCTTTCCAAGGGAAAGAAGCCAATCCCATGACTTATAAGTTAGATTGGAGGGGTAGTACAACGCAGGGATTGACGTACTTCTTCTCAACATGGGTATATAGTAGATTATCGTGTATCACCCGGCCATCCGGTCCACGGCCCAAGAAGCGGTTAACTGGCACCGCGTCACGCTGAATAGCAGGAAGATAGCCGAGTTGATGGAGAATCCGAAGGCCGTGTGGCCACATGGAGATGCCATTGCCCATTGGCGGCGCAACTCCAGCATGCTTTTCGAGCACAACATGGTCAATGCCGAGCCGCTGGAGGCTGTTGGAGGCTACCAGCCCTGCTACACCCGCACCAACAACAATGATTCGGAATGGACGTTCAGACTGCATTGCTGTATTATATGCTGCTTTATGTGCAATTGAAAAGACAGTCTGTGGCTGTCAATCTATGAGAGATACTCAAGCGGAAGGCGTATACTGTTTATGGGAGCGAACTGGCTGGTGATACATGGCATGATTAATACTAGTCAGGTCCGTCTTCCCTGCTTTTCGCAAAGGGATCGGCTTCGGCCGATGAATGCCGCATTTTCTGCTCCTGAAAGATTAAATAATTACTACTGAAGGACTGTTCAATTTTGTCGACTAGTCGTAGTACAGCGTACGATCTGGTGATGAGGGATATTAAATCAGGGCTTATGGTCTGCAGCCTGTACGTGGAAATAGTGGCAGTAAGTGATATTAATAGTTGCTATAGGTATAGGTGAGTCATAAATTCACAAATTCCTTTGTCCATATTGCACAAAGAGGCCGCCATTTATTTATTTATAGCCCATGTTTATAATGTAAGCGCCCCCTGCATTGACGTGGCTCTCCATCTTCCCATTCATCATCTCTAACTCAGTTTTCATCTCACTCATCCAGTCAAGCATCAATGGTCATCAATACATCCATTGAATATAGAAGTCGTTAATATACACAAGGCCCTCAATCCTCATTAAGTGCGAGAGCAGTCGCCTCACATGCTCTAAATCCCGACCTAAAACCCTACGACTTAATCCACACCGCCATCATGAACATCATCACTTTCATGCAAAACCGGCCTCGACTTACGGGTGTGGTCTCATTAGCTGCTGCCGGCACGATAGTCGCCGCATACCTTGGCAAGCGACGCCTTGACCGGTCATGCCCGAGAATCTCCATCACCCAGCTCCCAAAGTCAAGTGCTTGTCGCAACCTCGTGGAGAGCGGCGAAGCAGTCCCGAAGGCTGTATGGGGCATGGAAAAGTCAGCTCTGCTGGCCTCGTGGTCTGGTGGCGACCAAACCCGCTGGGTCCCCTCTTTCGCAGCACTTCAAGCGGATGTCCCCGTATCCGACCTCGCTGGATACGGAGCATTTCACAGCGAACAGAGTAAGGCCGAGAAGGATGACGCGCATCACCTGATGCGGAATTTAGTTGCCGCCTTTCTTGATGCGCGGGCCGCGGGGCCAGAGGCGTGGTTTCTGGACAAAGAGGTGCCGCCATTGTCCTTCGCGCCCGGTAGCCTATTATTCGGCGATCAAGGCAGCATGGGAGCCTTTATGCTTGGGACCTGGTCTACAAACCGGAACACCTCTATCCAGCCTCAGGCCCTGGGCCCAGGAGTACCCGAGCCTTGCTCCGAGTTCCCGTCAAACAGGGACGCGATCCAGGATAGTCCTAACGACACAGCTGGAGCTGTAATGTACTGGAAATTCCCCGACGGGCTGGTCCGAACAGTTGACAAGGCAGCATCGTACGGTCTCCCGTGGCGGTTCATGGACGGCGGTTTCCAAGAATTCATTGTGGAAAAGGTGTCAGATGAAACGGCGAGGGTGACATACATAAGTGTTGAATGCTCTAATCTCCACCCCCGCGGCCAATCTACAAAGGATTTCAAGATGTTGCCATGGCTGGCTTATGAGGTTCACGTACTATATGCACAACTCCTTTGGCATAATACGGTGATGCAGCTTCGTAACCGCACGAAAACATGAGATGATTTTCTAGACTAGCATTATGATTGAGAGTAGTAATAAAGATACCCCTCCACTCATCCTCCTTACTGCTTCATGCCCTATGTCGGTACATACCCAGAAAGAAAGCCGGCAGCTCACTGCCTCGCTGAACATATCTTCCGACAATTCTATTCTTACTAGGTACGGTAAATGACTGGCAGGGATGTCAGCTTACCACTGTGGCTTATCTACGGTGAAAAGCGGACCGCGTTGCCCGCACTCGGCCGCTTGAGGATCACCCCGTTAAACAATAGGTAAAGGAAAAAGAATCGGAAGTGTATTTTCCGCCGATGGAGACCTTGTCCTACATTTTACGCAAGCTCTGGTTTTCGCCTTAGTAGATATAATTATCTTGAAGTGGCCGGTCATAGATGAGGATACCTAGCTCAATCATCCCAGACTATCGCCCATCTCTACATTCACTCAAACGACAGAGCTGTCACTAAACAACATGGGCTCGGATCCCTCGAAAACGGCTGCCCTAGCCCTTGAAAGCTTTCCAACCACGCAGCCAGCGATTCGAATCAAGGTATGAGGGAATAGATGTCGTATGCAGCGGTCGACTGATGCTTCTCTAGGCCGGACTCGCTGGTCAATTGCCCTGTGGGGACATTTACACTGGCTCGACCCTTGTTGGTGTCGTGAGTTGCCTCCTCTCGAGAACCTCACGCAGTCAAAGGGATTACTGACACCTCATAGCCTTTCTCCCACGGTACTATCGAGTCGGTCGAGGGCTTCGAGCCCAAGGTCAACTTCACGATCAGCAACGGCCATGACTGGTTCCGCATCGATGCAGACAAGAAGCATGGGCGCCTGAGCATAACGGCCGTTGCTACTGATGCCGAGGGTCGGTGCATGCGCGTCATGGCCGACGGCGTCATCGAGTTGAACGAGCCTACTCTGGCTTTGATTATGGGTCATCCTGAGGCAAAGAGTACCCCCTTCGGCTCAGCAGGTGAGACGAGGATTTCTATTCCCGGGGTTAGGTATTGTATCTGGTGATTACATCTGGCTAACGAGAGAACAGTTGAGCAAATGAGATTCGAGTGTGGCCATGAACCTTATAAGCCGCTTGAAAACATGATGTTTGCCGGCAGCTTGCGTTTCCTGAAGGAAGAAAGTGGTGAACTATTTGCTGAGATCCGATTGTCCCGGATTGTTGCAGGGTCTGGCTATGAATGAAGGTCTAAATATGCATGACAGTTAGCGTTCACATGGACTAGCAAATTTTTACCGTTCAGAAAATATGGAAAGTTTCTAAATATGAGTAAATACTAGCTACTTAGTTAGTGAAGTAATAAGTATGGTAATGCCTTCTGAGCTAACCACAGGCACGGCTCTGCTCTACAGATGATCATAGCGACCGCGGGACGGTCAGCTCATCGGTCATAGATGCAGACGGCGAGCTCGCCCTCGCAGGCTATTCGGCTTGTTCGGGCCCTGCTCTTCATCGAAAGCACCTGCGCCGCACCCGCTCACCAGCTGGTGGACTTATTAGCTGACCGAATCTGGTATGACGGGCCTCCCAATCAATGGTTTCTACAGGACTCTGTCATTGCGGGGCTTATCCAGGTAGGTACAGGCCTTATACTCGGCTACAGTAGCTACACGGTGCCAAGATTGAACTCGGAGTGTGTATGCTTAATACGACGATATGGTCCTCAGTAAGTGAATTCCTGACCAACAAGCTTTTCACTCAACTGCCACAATCTCTCTGCTTCGACGACACTGGTTCCCCATGGCTTCACAGTCTCAGTAAAAGGGTCGGCAACATGACAGCCTGTCAAATACGCGCCATTATATGCTGAAAGTTGCATGTTAGAATAAAGCCTGTTCTTAATGCTTGGGGGATCTGCTGAAGCCATACCTTCCAAGCCGGGCGCGAATGAAGCGAATATATGGGTTGCTGCCCCATGCTGGGCTGTCTTGAACGCAATCTGATCCTCTACATTCCCGAGTGCAACGTCCACGGCCTCTGTGTTTAAACGTCAGCATACGGTTCTGTGGTTACAAATGAACATCAACTCACGGATAGCGGACTGTTCCTCCCACCAGTTCATATGGTCAGAAAGGTGAGTGAATACGAAGCCTGGGTGTAGACTAAAGGCTAATAAGCCATGCGTCTCTCCCAGCTTCTTGGCTAGAGACAGTGCCATCAGCATATTGGCTGTCTTGGCTTGTCCATAGGCTTGCCATTTATTATAAGTGTCGCCATCCTGTGCAACAATGTTGTCAGCCTCAGTCAATGAATATTGTTCCTGCACTAGAGAAGGAAGCATTTACATGGAAGTTATAATCCCCCCAACGGATCGGATTGAAACGGTGGCCTTCACTGCTGACGTTTACTACCCTCGGTGCTTCCGATGCCAGAATCTTGCTCATTATCAAGTTGGTGAAGAGGAAGTGCCCCAAATGATTGACAACAAAGGTCATCTCAAAGCCGTCTACAGACTGCGCCCACTCGATCCCCATGACACCGGCGTTGTTGACAAGGACATCGATTTTGGGCACATCGTCCCAGCCGAGGACAGCATCCGCAGCCTTGCGGACGGCAGCGAATGAGCTCAGGTCCAGCTCAAGAAGTCGAACATCAACACCAGGATACTTGGCCTTGATGGTCTCAGCCGTCTCCTGAATTTTTGCAACCGTCCGTCCGGCCAAAATCAGTAAGCTGGGTTGGGCGGCCGCGATACTCTCGACAAATGCGGCTCCTAGACCTCCCGGTGATACTCCCGTGGTCAATATCGATTTCCCCTTGATTGCAGCTGCCAGATCTTGAACCAATTCATCGGCAGTGGTCTCTGAGTTGTAGGAAGAACCCATTTTGTGTGCGTGTCTTAGCAAAGGTGAAATAGTGACGTTAACTTTATAAGACGTTGTATAATTAATTGATTTCACTTAAGGATCCCGCTACTGGAATTGTTTTGGATAACTGGGGTGCCGACGATACCGATGCATATTACAAGAATCAAGTTCCAAACTGACAACCGCAAGAACAATTGTTGACATGTCCTTTGCCCGTAACAGACCGTAAGACCGAACTGTGCAGGGATCAAAGGAGAAAGGCTGAATCTGACAGTGCGGACTGGAGCGGCCGAGCGGGAAAACAAAGTCCGCTGTGGGTCTGCGAGGAATGAACAAGCTACCAAGTCCTACAAAGATGCCTGGTGGCCATTCAGATAAGCTTTCCTGATCGTTTGGTTGCAGCTTTAGAATCATATCAGACCATCAGAATGGGCGCCACAACCCCCAGTGAGAAAGGCACCGCCTCGAGTCTTCCTCCTTCGGAGGATCAACTGGAGTCGGAGCATCAAAGCACAGAATTATTGTCTGTCGATGCCTCACCACGCCGGCTCCATGGCTGGAAGGTAGGTCGTGTTCTTTTGTAGGGAAATAACTCGTCGAAGGAAGGCTCATGAATATCCTTCCATCAGTGGGCCATTAGCTACGGATCTCTTTTGTCTGTGACGTTCCTCTTCGCTCTAGACAACACAATTGTAAGCTGTTCTCGTTCTTTTCTCAATTGACTGGAAAGCTTCCTTCGACCGCGGAAAACTGAGATATTTGCTAGGTTGCTGCCATCCAACCATCGATTTTGGCAAGTCTGGGCCAGGTCAACCTGTTCTCCTGGATCGGCGTCAGTTTCTCACTCGGCAGCACGGCCATTCTGGCCTGGTCCAAGGCGTATGGCGTCTTCGATATCAAATGGCTCTTCCTTGCCCACATCGTGATGTTTGAGGTCGGCAGCGCGATATGCGGTGCTGCGCCAACAATGCCCGCCCTGATCATCGGCCGAGTAGTCGCCGGGTTTGGGGGATGTGGGATGTATTCTGGCTCGTTGACTTATATTGCCGCCCTGACATCGATCCACGAGAGACCCCTCTATACGGCTGGCATTGCGGTGATCTGGGGACTCGGGAGTGTCCTTGGTCCAGTGGTGAGAATTTGGTCTAATTACTTCCCTTGTCATCATCCAGTGGTCAAGCTCACCGGAACAACAGGTTGGAGCTGGCTTTGCCAGCAGCTCCGCCACATGGAGATGGGTAGGTAGAGATGAAACATCCATTGCCCCATTGTCTGCATATTGACAGATACCAGGGCTTTTACATCAACATCGTCGTGGGGGCTGTCTTCTCGCCGGCCTACATCTTCCTGCTGCCACAGATTTGCCTCCAGACCGACAAGACCATCTATCAGAAGTTGCGTATGGTTGACTGGATCGGAGTCACTGTCTTTGCTGGCGGTGCGGTGAGTTTCATCATGGCCGTCACCTCGAATGGGGAGACTTATGCCTGGGGCTCTGGGTCGGCCATCACTCTCTGGGTTTTATCGGGCGTGTGTCTCGCTGCAACCATTATGTTGTCGTATTGGCATCCTTTGGTTGCCGGTGAAGACAGACTCATCCCGGTTCACTTCTTCCGGCGCCCGGTTCTGCTAAACTTGGCCGTTCAGATGTTTCTGGTCTCGGGAGTGATGCTCGGATTTGTGTACTACATCCCGGTTTTCTTTGCTTTCACTAGGGTAAGACCATCATTCCTTGCGGTTTGACGTATGCCAGTTAACCCCTCCACAGGGAGATGACGCGATGCAAGCTGGTGTACGACTACTGCCCTTTGTCTGCCTCATGGTCTTTTCCGCCATTCTAAGCGGTGCTCTCATGCCCAAGACTGGTCATTACATGCCGTGGTACGTTGCAGGCAGCGTTCTAGTGACGCTGGGAAGTGGTTTGATGCGTAAGTCCAGTTCCTCCAGTCATTCTCTTTATGAATAGGCTGACGAGAAGCCAGTCTCCGTCAACGCCGACACCGGTCCAGCCAGAGTGTACGGCTATACGGTCCTGGTTGGCGCTGGTGTAGGGTGTTACGTCGTTGCAGGGTTCGCCGTGACTCAGGCGATGGTGAAGGCAACGGACGTATCCAACGCCGTCGCGTTTCAATCGATTGGTACGAATTCTGTCGCAGTTTGCCTGGACTTTACTGACCCTCCCATGCAGCTCAGGTCCTCGGATGCGTTGTCCTTCTGGCGGTAGCCGGAAGCATCTATGAAAACACATCCTTAGCCGAGATTACCCCTCTACTCCCAGCCGGCACTCCTTCGAAATTCGTGTCTGAACTCATTGCGGGTACAAGCAGCTCCGCGTTCGCCAGTCTCTCGCCAGAAGTTGCCGGGCAGGTCATTTCGGCTCTCACCAAGACCCTTCGAAACGTCTGGATTTTCTTCTTGTCATCCGGTGCTCTTAGCCTTTGTCTCAGTCTATTTCTCGACGTAAGTACTACTCCCTGGACCATAGACCAGCTGCTTACCTCGCCTTCTGCAGCGCAAACGGTTGAATATAACGGCCGGATAATTGAGGGTTGCAATCACAAGAGCCACAGAGTCAAAGCACGATTTTATTATATAGTTCTAAAGATAGCCGTGGGCAGGATTCAGATTGGTAATAGAGGAGTTAGAGGTACAGTATGTCTTTAAAGCAATCATTGATGGTTGTGGTCAATTGGTTACTATAAGACAATCGATCAAAATTTAAACCCTACTGTGTCCTTTTACAAGATAAATCTAGATGAATTTTAATTCCTATCATATCATAGTTTTACCGTCTATTGTATCATTAACCAACCCAGAAATTAAATATGCCAAGACCAATGTAGGATTCCTTTCTTGTTTTCTCATGTTAATGGGGGGGACTTTGTATCAGGGACTTCTCATTATATACTACGTTTGCCCCCACACTGTGCGGAACAACGTATGACGGCTACTAAACTACGAAAAGAACCGGATTAGACATAAAAGCTCAGTTGATCAGCTGATTATTGATACCTCCCATTCACTCCTCCTCCCTCTGCACCGTAGGACTCAAGAGCGAGCTCTTGGCGGCGATTTTGGCGGCCAACGCAGTCAGAGGATCATTACTGAGAATATCAAACACGCTGACATCGGATTTGGCTTCCTTGAACACCCACGCGCGGACCTCCACCGCAACCAGACTATCCACGCCGTAGCTGTTGGCCGGTCGACTGGCGTCGAGGTCCTCCAGCTCCATCATCATTGCCTTGGCCAGTTTCTGCATGAGCGCGCGACAGACAACGTCCGATGCCTCTCCCATCGTCTGCGCGGCAGCTAGACTTTCGTGCAGGCCCTGGCCAGCATCCTCGGAGCTGACCGTGAACTCCTGGGTGTCGAAGATCCGCATGTGCGAGAAGCGCCCGTCACCGAACCAGTACGGCTCATCATGGCCGTTCTGGTTCAGTAAACCTCCCGTTGCCAAACCCGCGACAACTTGCGTAGGGGTGGAATTGTTCATGGCCGCTTCAATGAGGGCGAGCACTTCCTGCTCACGCACACCGATCATGGCACCTGTTTTGAGATATGAGAGAATCTCGCCTCGCTCGGCCGTGATCCCGACCCCTAGGACGACGCCCAGGTTGATTGACGTGGCATTAAGACCCAGCGCGCGTCGATGGTGGCAGATAGCGTCCTGGTAAGTGTTGCCAGCGTTGTAGTTGCCCTGACCGCGAGAGCCGACAATGCCGCCCACGGACGAGAGACAGATGAAGAAATCCAGGTCTTTGGGGAGCAGATCGTGTAGGTTGCGTGTGGCTTGCACCTTGGGACGGATTGCCGCATGGTAGTCCTCGACCGTCATGTTCTCAAAGAACACATCCTGCAGGTGCATTGCGCATGTAACAACACCTCGGATGGGAGGAAATTCGACTGCAGCTTCCTGCAGAACGGTGTCTAGTTGACTGGCGTCGCTGATGTCGCAGGCATATGCCTTGACATGCACGCCTTGGGCACGCAGATTGGCGAGAAGCTTCTTGGCTTCGGGCCGCTTGTCGCCCGACCGAGATGTGAAGATGAGGTTGCGGGCGCCCTGGTCCGCCATCCGCTGGGCAAGCGAACGTCCAAGTCCACCGAGCCCACCGGGGATCAGGTAGGTTGCGTCGGCTGCAAGCTGGGCGGGACGAGCCTTCTGAGGGACGACCTGTGGTAATGCTCGTTAGTATAGACTCCGTTTCTTCTAGAGATTACTACTAACCGGAACGAGATCATCATCGTTTGCCTGCAGGACCATCTTCCCAATGTGTTTACCCGTCTGCATTATGCGGAAGACTTCTTCAATCTGGGAGAAATTGAAGACCTTGAGAGGTTTGACAGGGCGGATGATGCCTTCAGATACCATCCTCATCATGTCCGCGATGATGCGGCCAAACAGGGGGATGTTGTCACGGTAGACGCTGAGCATGTTCACCCCGCAGAACCGAATGTTGTTCATAAACGGCGCCATGTCTATGCCGGTATTGCCAACGATATCCTTCTTGCCCAGCTCGATAAACCGACCAAAGGGTGCAACGGCAAGCCAGGACTGACGAAGAGCCTCGCCTGCCAGAGAGTTGAGGACGACATCCACGCCTTTACCGTTGGTCATACGCTTGATCCCCTGTGCAAAACTGAGGTCGCGACTGTTGAAGATATGGTCCTCTGCGATTCCGTATTCCTCCACGAGGAATCGTTTCTTCGTCTCGGATGAGACGGTGACGAAGATCTCGGCCCCAATATACTGGCAAAGGATGATGGCCGCTTGTCCAAGGCCTCCAGCCGCAGCATGAATCAGCACACTCTCGCCCTGCTGCAAATGGGCCACGTCAAAGAGGGAGTAGTAGACCGTGCTGTAGATGCATGGGATGGACGCCGCATCTTCAAAGGACATGCTGTCGGGGATCTTTTGGAACATCTCCTCGGGGTTGCGCAGGAAGTTGCGGAAGCATCCCAGTCGGAAGGTGATCACTCGATCTCCCACTTTGTATTTGGTCACTTTGGAACCC